TTTGTCTTCTGGAAATCAGGTAGCATGTGTGGATGTCAGTAGTTATGACAGGGATGGGATCCTGGAAGTTTGCTCAGTATCTCTACATGCTGCAGTAATGTGTAGCACAGAGATAAACAAGGCTGGTGAAGGCCCGTATGTCAACTTAACAGCTGCAATTTCTGTTGTAATTTTGGAGTTTGTATTGGCTGTATAAAACCTATTACCTCTGTAAGATTATGTTGTTGACAGGACTTGATATAAATGTGGTTTTCCCTTGTGTCCCTGCATGTGCCTTTCCATTACTCTCCCTGGGAATCTAAATCAAGCTCATAGATTTTGGGGAGGAGGTTCTTCCCACTGTTTCCAAACCTATTAAATGTCAACATCAGGGGCTTGTCATGAGTTGTCATCATTCTTCAGAGTTAAGTATTTAAAACAGAGTTATTGTTTAACATCCCTCCTGTTATATTACCAGTGGGGAAAGGAGCAAGAGTCTTTCCTTATCATGATAAGATATAAATACATCATCTGTCATCTTTTCAGATACAGGGCAAATGTTTATTGAGTACTTCTGGCTTTCTGCATCATTGACAATTTTGCTGACTCTGTCTAGTGACGGACTTAAACTGTTGCTAGGATTTTACATGTTCTTCCTAATCTGTAAAAAGTCCTTTTTGCTGTCTATTATATTTCTATTGATGGGACATTCAGTCTTTCAAAGTAACTGTGGTTTAACAGAAGGCCTTATTTGGTGGGTAAAGTTGTTGAACAAATGGGCTTACACTTTTCAAAATGTAATGAAATTTTCAAATCTGAAAAAAAGTCACAAAAAAAGAACGTAGGAGGAATTTGCTCCTTGATTTTCTTTTTTAATATTTTCACATACAGTTTTGAACCTTTTTATTTGTTAGCCGAATTTAAGTGTGGAAGAGCAGTAGCATATTTTATTATAGCTTTTTTCTCCTCATAATTCAGGTGTTTCAGCTTTTTAGGTGGTTTTAGCTAGTATTGATTTCATTGCTTCATTAGCGTTTTCCCTAAACCAGAATGAATAGTTATTTGCAGTTGTAATGAATTGTTTCTGATGTTTTGGTAGGTAAGAGGAGGCTAATCAAAACGATCCCAGAAGATACTGTGGCACTACTGCAGGCAGTGACAGAACCATCTCTTTGTCAAGATTTCAAAGCTATCCTGGACTAACTCATTGAGGTTTATTTCATAATTTTCTCAGGTTTGAAAATAAATGCTGTGTCTTTAGGTGACATCTCTGTAGTTTAGTTTGATAGAGTGGGCCAAGAGCAAGTTCACCCAGAAGTTTTATGTGTCTGTTTCTCAGGTACCCTACAAGGACATAAAAAGAGTAGAGAGTTTTGTTAATACCTTCCTGTTTGGGTTTTTTTTGTTCGTGTGTTTTTTTTTGTAAATTCACAGGCTGTTTGAAGTAATTTATGTTCCATAGTTCTTATCTTCTTGATGAAGGAATCATTAAACTATGTTTTGTACAAAAATATTAACTTTCTTGTTTCAATGAGTTGTCTTGAAGGGCTGTTTTTTACTTCTCTGTGTTGCAGCCAATTTTGTAATAAATTGGCTGGTTAATTGCAATAACACATATTTGTTTCCAGGTCCTTTATTTTATAGTAATCTTTAATATGCTGGTTTGTGTCACAAAAAGCACGGACAGGGCAAATGCCTTTCATGGCAAGATGTAGAAGCTAGAAGTTTTATGCTTTGCAGGTCACAAATAATATATTTCAAAATTTGATTATGTTTGGTTTATGTTTTATTTATTTTGAATACTTGGTGATATTTTTAATACAGTGTTGTACAGAATGATGCTGGTGCATTTATACCTACAAAACAAAAGTTTTTGATTAGATAATCTACCAAGTATATTGCTTTTCTATTTGCATATCTTTGGCTTTCCAAAACCAAATTTTTTACAAGGACATATAGTGGTAGAAAAAGGGAGAATGGCTTTAAACTGGGAGTTGGTTTACGTTCAATATAAGGAAGAAATTCTTTACTGTGATGGTGTTGAGTTGCTGAAAGAGGTTGCCCAGAGAAGTCACAGTTGCCTCATGCCTGGCAAATCCCCACTACACAGGGACTGGTGGTTGAATTGCAGTATTGCAGTCTGTCCTTTAACATCATAACTCAGTTCAAAATGTACAGTCAGTCATACAGGTTTGGGTTTTTTCTGTCTGCAAAGTGGCACTCTTAAAATACATTTTTAAAAAGCCACAGAGCAATTGTTCCTACTAGAGATGAAGAACAACACTCTGGCTCTCCAGCCAGCAGCTCAAACATTTAAATGCCCCTATGCCCCTCAGTGGTCTGAGTGATACTGGATGAGGGAGCACTATCAGGAACAACATTGCATAGGAGAGGCTTACCATGTGGCATGAAGAGACAGCAAGATGCACCAACATGAAGAAAGGAGGGAATGTAAACTTGGCCCATTTTTCTCTGTGAGAACATAAACTTATGATGTAGTCTCAGCTGAAAGCGTTTTGTAAAAATGAAAACAGGGTAATGCTTGCAATTCTCCGAGCTGATGTTTGAGCCTTTCCCAACAATTACTGGCTGAGTCATCAGTTTTAAAGAGTAGCTGTTTGTAAACAGATACAAGTACAGTGTAGAAATCACAAGAGAAGATTATTTCTTTAAAAATATCCTTCCCCCAAAAAGGCAAGGGAAAGTAAAGTGAAATTGGTATGTGTTTTCATAAGTGGAGAATGTGGAGATTTGAAGAAGAGTCGGCAGTCTGTACTGGAAACTTGAAGTTGCTACTGTGGTTTATGATAATTGGAAATAAAATGCTATGTAATAGCTTAACCATGGCAGAGGCATACAGTTTTTTGCTCTAAAAATACATGTTTATAATGTTGGGAAGGTAGAAATATTCCATAAAGCTATTGTGGCACAGAACTGTTCTAGAAGAAATAGTGTGATCCATTGTGGTGGTAAAATATATTCTACTTAATTGGTACCAAGGCAGTGCGTTAAACAGCAACTGCTGACAGGAAACGTTTGGGTAGAGTGAATAACTTGAATCCAGAAATATTAAATGAATTACCTTAGGAGCGTTCTGAATCTGTAATGTGGATTTTCAACAATCATTGTACAGCTGGGAAAATTTCAAAATCTTTGAGTTGCGGTGAGGGTTAAGGTCTCAGTATTTAAGAGAAGGTAAGTAGAAGGATTGAGAGCCAAACCACTGAAAGTAACTCCCTGCACTGCAAACGTTGCAAACTACTCAGGAAGTTGAGCTTGCTGGAGGGTTTAAATGGGGAGGGGGAGAAATAGGGCTGAACATTGTTTTTAGTGTGTTTACAGAGCTGTAAGGAAGGAATTTGACAGAAGCCCCTTTAGGGGAGATCAGAGTATCTTGGATGCTTCCATCAAACAAGTCCTTCTCTTCACTATTGCCTTTTGGGAAGGAAATGTGGACTGGGAATCTCAGGTTGAGGTAGGTGTCAAATTTCACAATGTAGAAAACTCCTCTGTGTTCCAGAAGGATTATGCTTTTCTTTCTGCAGCTGTTTATTGTATTATGATAATTTGGGTGTGTCCTTATTTATAGTGCTATTTCAATGCTCCTCCTGAGGCTTTTTCCTTTAATAGGCGATTGATCTCCTTGTTTTAGGGCTGTGGATTCTGTCTAAAGCTGAACATCACCATAGCTGTGTTTGTGTCTTTTACTGATTTACCCCCAAAGAACCCAGGTGGTTCTTGCAGCCTAGACAATTCTAGGAAAGTCTTGTTTGTTGGAACATGATGAATTCGCAGCAGGGTATTAGAGCAAAGAAGATTTGATGGAATATGTAGGTAAAAGATTGGGAAAAGAGCAAGTGGAAGGTGTTTGCATATACGTGCTCCTTCCAGTAACTCAGTCAAGCTATTCAGGAGAAAAATGTATCTGTAGGCTATCATCTTATTCTTCATGAATAAGAATGGAACCTCTAGCACTACCTTTTTTGGAATAAGGCTACAGTTTTGGAATTTTGGTAGAGGTAACATCAGAAGTGCACTGACAACAGAAAAGCAGCATTCATGCAAGAGTTGCTCAATGCATTTTTCTACATGCCTACTTGAGCTAAACAGTAACTTCAGCTTGTGTTTCCCAGCCATCATTTGTAGTTAGTGGAGCTGAAAATGTCCTCCCCCAGAGTCCTGTCCTGGGTTGAACTGCATGTCTGGTGATCCATAAAGCCTTCCTTCTGCTGAATTGAAGGTACAGCTCAAAAGTCAAGTCTGGATACCGTGACAGTGACTCAAGATGGAGTTATAGATTTTAAAGTCTTTTAGATCTAGTTTAATTATTTTCTCAGCTTCTCTCTATTTTAGTTGGATGTGTTTTTGTTTAAGAACAGAACTCTGACTACTTAAACCTGCTGCATATAGTTGACTGTAGGATTTTAATGAACATTTAGTGATGTGTAGTCAGAAACATGAATATAAAACATATGCTTTAGTTAGTTAAAAATTCTTATTGATGTATTTACAGCTTTATAACCTTAGTCCTTTCTCTTCCTTGACTTGGTTACTCAGCCTGAAGGCAATGTCATGCTTTATCCTCACTTACTTTCTCCATATTTTTTCAGAGGCTGCTGATTCCTTAGGTATTGTGACAAGAGAAATCCTCATCTCCCAGCCCTAGAGAGTGGCCAGGATCTGCAGCCAAGTACAGGAAATCCTGTTTTTCAGTAAACATTAATTTTGTTGTCATGTCCTGTAAGGTTGCAGCTCACTGAAAGGCTGCTATACATCTGCATTTTTGTTATGCTATTCAGCTATTGTGTTTAGTATGAGAAATAAAAGGGGAAAAAATAGGAATTTTGTTTTTACAATATTTTCCACTACAATAAATTCTGGAAACTGCTAAGATATTTGTGCAGAATTAATTGCTCAAATTTACTTAACATTCTTTTACCTGCTGATGCTTTATCTTTGCTCCTTGCAATGCTTGAGAATATGAAATAATCACAACATGACTGCTGTTTAAGTGTGCATAGGATTTACAAAAATTAGAGTGTACTGGTAAGGAGCAGTCCTTATTGTTAGAGGGCTCCCATTCTCCGTCTCCTGGAGCAGAGGGGCAGGGCAGTGAATAAAACTGTGCGTCCTTGTGTTGCAATCTATGTTGCTGATCCTTGGAAATAGACCAGTATTTTAAAAATGAAGAAAGACAGAAGCCAGCAACAATACTTGACAGGCTTTCTAAGTTTAAATTCTGGCTGGAGAGATACATGAAGTTGTGAAATTGGTTGAAATTGAAGGAAACACAACAGCATTGTTTACAGAGTGTGGTGATTGCTGTTAGCATATGAACTGTATCCCAGGTTGGTTGGATGATACTAAATGACAGCTAATAATGTGTAACAAAGGCTGTCTTATTTTTGCATTGCACAGGTACAATGGATGTTTATTCTTTTGGATGAGAAAAGTTACTGTTAGCCTCCTGACAGGAGGAGACTTCTGGTGGTACAAGGCTTGGCTCCTTGCTCCTGCGCTTTTGTTTGGCCAGGTGGAAGAGCGCTACCAGAGGTACACACACGCAAGGAAGGGCAGCCAGCAGCACACAAATGGCCTGTACCCAAGGTGGATAAACTTTCTCCTCTTTCATGGGGAAGCCTTCCTGTGGAGATAAAAAAGCAAGCAAAAGAAATAATTTGTAGGTACACTTAGATTTTGCTATGATTTCTATTTTTATTTTCTTACACTATCTTAGTAAGGATAGCAAGTTTTACTCTGTCTACAGTAGCAGTCAGTGACTGTGCTCTCTGCAAACCCTTCTTGTGGGTCTGTAGTCAGCTGTAAATGTTTTACACTTTCAAAGATGTACAGCTGGAATTGCAACACATTCCTAAGGATGTGGGGATTGCCCAAGGGTTATCAGATCTTCACCCTCTCTTGGTGAAATTATGTTCGTTCTTGTTGTACTCAAAGCTTAACTGGTTTCAGCAATTACTGAGTATGTTCTTTGTCAAATAGGGAAGTTGTATATCAGAGATTTTGAAGGAATGATGATAGAGCAATTCCTGCAAGTCTGTGGCTATGAGTTTTATTTGGGAAGATGGATACTTGATGGCATTTGGGGAAGACACTGCTGCTGTGTAATCCTCATATAGTTTAGGAACAGAATCAGTCTTCAAACCCCCACACAAGGATGTATGTGAGAGGGGTCAAAGAAACTGCAGTTGATGTGAGACAGTGACATCCAGTTGAAATGTTCTCAGCATGCACATGTCTTTTTTGCTGAATTAACCAACACTGTATTCAGACCACTGCCTCCCTGTCTGCCTGTCTAAAGTACACGCTCCTATATCCACCAGGGCCCCAGTGATACTGGTAGCTCTCACTGAGAAATGCCTTCATCCCTGACATCTGTTTTGCAGCTGTAAAGCTCTGCTCAGGTATTTGTTCTATCTCTGAACCCCCTGTGGGTATGGGATGTCTGTGACATGTTCACTTCAACACTTCTGAGCATTACACACATCCATAAGAAATATGGAACATGGGATAAGCAGGTGGCCTCAAGAGGAGACAGGTTTTAGTATGTGTAACCGCTTTGCACACTTGAGTCTTCTCATTCTGAACACTACATGACTTCAAGCTATTTTCAATGGGTAAGCAGTAGATAACAATAATATTAAAGGATCTTGTAAAGGAGGAAAATAGGTAATTCTTCCTTTAAGTGCTAAAAATATTTGAGCACATACATAGTTAGGGTTCCAGGCTGTGTAGCTTGGTGGCTTCTGCATCTGAAGAGTAACAAAGGCCATGAAGACAATTAGCAGGAGCAGAGGGCTAATAAACCTCCATGTGATCTGCCAGAAGAGACTGAGTTTTCTTCCGGTCATCCATTCCACATCTTCACTGAACCTTGTAAAAGAGGGCATGTTTATGATGATGTCAGAGCTAGAGTGGTAACAGTTTCCCTGTTTTATAGCTTCCTGTAAGTTGGAAACACAGAGCACAGCACTGTAAATCTTTTCTATTCCATACCATTCTTTAATAACACACTGCTTGCTTGAGTAAACAATAATATCATCCAAGTAGGTCTTTACTGAGCTATACCAGAGATGGATGACCAATTTACATTGTCAGTTAATTACCTGAGCATCTAGTGTAAGGTTTCTCAGCTTAAATAAATGATGATAATATTGCAGCAGTTCTGTAAACTATTCAGATATTTACCATAAAAAGACAAAATTGCCAAGGGAACAAACAGCATGCTAGGAAAATGTCTCAGTTACCAGCACCAAATCAAATCAGGTCAGGGTCAAGGTTGCTGCAACCTGAGCTGCATTTATGTCTTAGAAGAAAACATTCCATCTCTTTCCAACATACCTTTTAATTTTATAGATGTACACAACTCCAATCACTTCAAAAAAAGCGATGACTAGAAGAGGCACTGAAGCTGCATATCTGTCAAAAATGTCAATCCAGTAACTCCCTGAACCCAGTGTAAAACACAGAGCAATGAGGAAGCTAATTAGACATATTATACCTGAAGAAAAAAAGATATCTTTGTTACTGGAATACTGAACTAGGTAGATTTATTTTTGTTCTAAATTGCTTTGTTCTTTTTCTAATAATTTTTGTTCTCTCCCTCTCTGTGGAGATACAAAAGGTGTTTCCTCATTAGGGGAGCTAATACCACTTCCCAAACTCAATTTTCCCCTGTGTGTTGGCCAAGGGCACCACTGTTGAAGGAGGAATGCATTCATGTGACTCAGAGTGTACTTCAGTTGTTCATACTTCTTCCATCAGACAGCCTGGGCTGTGCTGTGAGCCAGTGTTCATTTTTGACTGCTGTGGTGAGTTTCAGGTGCCTCATTTCCATGCAGCCATAGGGTTAAACCGCAGGCAGGTGCCACCTTGGAATTGTAAGGGCCCCCTGCATTTCTGTCCCTATTTCCTCAAAGAGCCCAGAGATACAAATGTGTGTGTCCCTTATGTTCCAGCATGTGTCATTTGGGTTTCAGCACACTTCTGTACAGCCAGTTCCCCTTTAGTCAAGATTTAGATTTGGGATAATTGAGAGAACAAGTGGGAAGGAAAGGAGCGAATAAAGGTATTGCTGGGCATAGACATTGGCTGCAACTCAGTTTGTACCTCTTTCTAGTGTGTTGCTAATTGCTTCTAACTCTGAGATGGCCTTTGGTTCAATTCTGTAAAATATTGGCTCCAGACTTTTTAAAAATATTTTAAAGTTCACAATTGGAAAATCAGTTTTAAAATAATATTTTTAACTCATCAAGTTGGGAAAAAATGTTTTTACATGAAAAATTTTAAAATTAGGGATACAATTTAGATACCATGGGAAGACTCTACAAAAGGCATAACAGCAATATTTCCCATAAGAATTTAAAAGGGCACATTGCAGTAATATTAGTCTATTAGTTGCAATTGTCATAGATTTTTCTGGACCTATTTCATAGTAGGATCTCTCAGACTCTAATTGAGTCTGGTTCTTACGGAGCAGGTTTTGTTCAATAATTGGCTGATTGAGAAGATTCCAATTTTGGTGCCAGAACAGAATCACACACCTTCATTCCTCATTTTTCGAATGGTAATTTTCTACTCTGACATGTTCACAGTAAATGTGACTCTGTAGCAGCATAAACCTGGGTGAAATAGGTGTGAATGACCTCTCTTACAGTGCTAAGTTCAAGTGCAGGTGGTTATGGCAGACCAGCTGATGTCACTGGGTGCCTTAAAGTGATTTGTATCAGTGCCAAAGGCTTAAGGGAGAAGGCAAGGCTCTTCCTGATGACTGCAACAGCTCAGAGTGGACTGGACTCCAGAAACAGCAATTTAACAAGCTTTCTCAGACTGGAGCAGTTTAATTTGCAAACTAATTAAAAACCGGCCAAGGCACTATAATATTGTCACCTGACAGCTTCTGCCATAGCTGCTACCTCATCTCTCTGCTTATCTTCTGCAAACACAATCCACTTACTTACACTGTGACATTCAGCTAAATTAATGCAAAAAATTATGAATTCATCTGTGATATTAATTAAGCAGTTAATGGTTTGTGTATCTATAAGGAAGTCACCTTCTTTGAACAAAGCAATACCTTACCAGACAATAGCTCTTTAGGTGCTGATTTAGGTAGAATTTGAAGCTCTAGAAGAGGAGTGAAGACACCCTCAATGTTTCCAAACATCGAAGAAAGGCCCAAGCTGAACAACATGATGAAAAACAGGATGGCCCAGGCTTGGGAGCCTGGCATGAGGATGATAGCTTGAGTGAAAACAATGAAAGCCAAGCCAGTTCCTGAGACACTCTGCAGCATTCACAAACAGATACAAATACACATTACAATGTCATTTCTCATGCATCTTTATGATGCATCTTTATGTAACACAGTGCTGTCCTTTTCTGGAGTCAAGGTGGCTGGTCACCCTGTGCCCTCTGTGGCAGCCAGCATTTGAGCAAATGGGCAGTAGAGAGTTTAATTTTAAGTATTCTAAGGATATCTAGACAATCACAGAGCAGAATTTTTAGCCTGCACAGAGAGATGGGTTCAGAGTAAAGTAGACTGGAGAGCTGTAATTGTAATAGAAATTGTTTTGCTAATACCATCCTAAATGTGCTTTTTAAAAATCTATGATGCAGTAGCTTCTGGAAAAAAGAGGTGTAAATAAGAATACGATTGTCTCTCTTAACACCAATAGAATTTGTGAATCATTGGTCACAAAATCCCCTATAGGCAGAAAAAGACTAATTAAGGCAGAAAAGACTAATAGGGAAAAAGCCAATTTCAACCAAATTTCTTTGGTGTAGTCTCCCAAGGACAAGGATATTGAAATCTGAGCATTGAAAAATGCTAATGTTGCTATAATTTGGAAGTAAAATATTTAAAAATGTAAATCGGAAATGGATGCCATCAGAAGAAGTGACACAAAAGAAGCTGACTTGTACCAGGGCTGGAATGTTGTTCTTGGACTTCTCCATCATATGAGTAAAATAGCCTAATTTACCATTACTGTATGTTAGGCCTGTTGTGCATTAGCACACACTGACTCTGCCAAACAGCATCCCTGGAGCAAGTGGAATGAGGTAGGACAAGAAAACAGACAAGAAACATCTGTGTTTAGTGGTAGGGGAAATGTTTCAGGTAGGTTGGAAAATAAGGAGAGGCTCATGATGCACTTTGGTGGTGAACAGTGTACATTGTAATGGATTTTTTGATACTTTCCTAAATACAGATTTAGAAAATTCCCATTCAGTATCCTTTTTCCATAATCTTTCATTTAGATGTGTTCCTCCATTATGCTTATTTCTGTAAACTGAACAAGGACTGAATCTAGTGTCCATGGTAGACTTCTGGTGGGAGCACCCTGGAAGATCAGTTTTGTGGTAATAATATGTAGTTTTGTTTGCTGTAACAGGCAGCTGTACATTCAGACTATCCTGCAGCAGTATTGTTACTTCAAATGTTGAAAGATTGATTTGTTGCATGATTATTTGTAATATATCATTGCAGGTAGAACAGAGTTCATGTACTTACAAGAAAAAGGAAGACAGGAATCCTTCTATGTAACTTTGTTTAAGGATTACCTGTTGTAATCAATTATGGTACCTGATCAAGAAATTCTTGAAGATCACAGCTTTTCAGTTTGAGCCCAGCAATTTTTTCTGGATATGATGAATTCAAAAAACTAATCCAGGATGTATAGTTCTGTCGCATGATGCTTTCTTCTGGAAGATCAAATTCATTGATGATATTGATAATGTTCCTGCCAGAGAAGCCAACACATTTAAACTTTAGTTTAAAAATTTGCAGATGATGTGGCTGGAAGTGCTATGCTGTGTATTCAGGTGCTACTTCAAAGTTGTGTTTACTTTCTGTGCTGCTATTTACAATATAAAGGAAAATATTAATTGACAGCTTTTATATATAAAATAGTAGAAAATACTCAGACTATTTAATGTTGTCTCAGACAGAAACTCTGACTACTTTATGCAGATTCAGTCTCTAAATAATTTTTGTTTTATCAGATCTCCAGACCATTTCTACTACTTGTGTTTAATAAGTTAGTGAAATAAATTTCTAATGAAATAGAAAAAGGAGGGGATTTTTACTACTTCTAATGCTATCCTGAGAGTAAGGTGCAAACCTTGATGCACTACTTGAAATGGGTTGTTCTGCAATTTATCTTTATTCTTACAAATTATCATCCTTGACTCAGTCCCATAGTACTTTATATTTTTGCATTTAACTTCTCCATACAGATGTTCTTCTTTTCTAATGAAAATAAATTTTCTAAATACATGTCTTTCAAATAACACATTATCACATTATATATTTAGGCACTGGAACACAGCTTTCTCACCTGTCCAAGCAGTCCCAGTAGGCTGTGGTTGCTTTAAACCCCAAAACAGAAAAGACTGGGATGGAAGCATAGAGGGATGTCATGCTGTTCACAATTGCTACTGTCACAGCATCCTTTTCACAGTCATTTCTAGAGATGGCATTCAAATAAGTTAAATGATTAGGCAGATTTTCTTATCTGTGATGCAGTTATTTCTGCAAACTTTTTTTAAAATTTCTTCTCTCCCTCCCTCCCCTTCCCCCTTCTGTTGGAAATTCTAGTGGAGAAAAAATAAATCTAGATTAGAAAGAAAATCTTTCTAATCTAGTTAGAAAATCTGTCTATTAGAAAGACAGACACTTTTCTAAAGATCCATTAGAAAAATTAAGAAAAATATTTTTAAAATTTAAGAAATTGAACAAAATGCAGCAAGAATTCAGCCAGATAATAAAGGCTGTGGTTCTACTCACTTTGCTGGATTGTAGCTCGCGAATGCAATAAGCCCTCCAAAAGCCAAAGAGAGAGAGAAGAAAATCTGTGTAGCTGCATCAAGCCATACACGGGGATTTTTCAAAGTGTTCAGCTGAAATAATTGGAAGAAATTAATGTATTAGGCTTAAATTAAAATTTCTTTTCCTCTTGCAGTTCTCATAGCTCACCTGTTCTTTCAATTCTGGAATTTTGAGCTGTGTTGCCATCTATGAAAATGGGAATAGGTACTAAACAGGTCAGTAAAACAAGTGTTTTCAAGAGTATCATGGAGGCTATTTAAATGTATGCAAGAATTATAGAATCTTTTTTATTGTGCATTTTGTCTGTCTGATGATAATGTGGTTCTAAGTGATAAACACTAGGAACACAATAGAGAAAATACATTTTTCCTCAATTGCTTTCTTTTTTTTTTTAATTCACGTACTTAACCTGCAGTTAAAGAATATTGTCTTCCTAAAACTCTATATACAAATATTAAACCTTCACTGTTTTAAGACAAAGTGATTCTGTAGCTTCCCACATTTGCTTAAAAACTAATTTAATAGAAGTGACTAAAAGCACAAGCAGGCAAGAAGAGAACAGTTTTGAAGAGTAGCATCTGCTATTCAAAGTGCTGTGAAAAAAGCAATAAAGATAGAAGGTCAGCATAGGTAATACAAGAACAAAGGAGAAACTGACAATGAAATTTGTGGTTTTTTGTAAGGGCAGTATGATACAGGAAGGTAAATTAAAAAGCAATGATTGGTGGATTACAGAGAACATTAAGCAGTTTTAAATAGCTTCACTAAGGAGTTTTGATGTTGAAATCTTTATAAAAGAAAGAGATAGAACATGAGTAATGCACAAAATGTAAATGTGATCCATGAATATTACTTTTCCTGCAGAAACTACAAAGTGGTGTGTTATACCCTACCATGTGAATTGCTTTTTGATCCATTATCAAGGACAGGGAATAGAAGAATGTTTTGCTGAGAATGTTTTAAAAGCCAGATAGCTCAAAAGTAATGCTGAGGCTGTAGACTATTTCGCTTTGTTTTACAACAGTCTGAGTTAAATCTTCATCCCAGTCATGCAGGACAACTTGTGTGTTTTGTGTCTGTGTGCCTGTGCTTGTGATCCAAGCCCATGACTGGGAACATACGTAGGAGTGAGAGGTAAGTATGCCAAAAGACCCTTCAGCCCAACCCTTTTGGGTTTCTCTGAAGCTGGCCTGAGCTTGAGGAGCAAGAACAATGGGTCCACCTCAGTGTGGATGGATCCAGGCAATGCCAGTACTGCAGGTGCTCTCTCCTCAGGGAGCCCAGTGCTTTGACCACAGCAGAGCTGTGTCACCTCTTGTACAACACAACACAGCCAGCAGATTCATGGAACCATTGCTGGCTGAAGTGACTCAGCAAAGGCAAACCCTTCTGGAGGTTTATTTTGAAAGATCACAGTCAAGCCCTGAAAGGCCAGAGTGCTCACTTGCAGTGCAGAAACTTGGCACTCACGTGGCTCTGTGGCCTTCACACTTTTGATTAAGTGCTGCCAAGTCAGTTGATGCTGACAAATGCAACTCCTAAAAGTCTGGCTTTCTCACTGGGAACTTTGGCAAATGAATCTGGAGGTAGTTTAGACTGGTACTAGGCGCAGTGCATTTATTGACTCCAAAAGATACTGATCAACCCCAAACTTGAAAAGATAATGGGCAGGCATGCGTGACATGGCAATGTCATTATCTGGTCTCATTGTTGAAAGTGTTATTTTATATTTATATGGCATACAGGTTTTATAAGCATATGTTCAGAAGAAAAAAATGTGCTGATGCCACAAACGTGGATGAAGATGTACGATCAGGGTTAATGAATAGTCCCCTGTTCATTCCCTGTAAGGAGGAAAGTAAATATAATTGCTCTCTCAAGAGTGGTAGCATGTTTGGATTTTTGAATATATGAAGCACAGACAGAAACAGAATTAAAAATTAGTGGGGTCCTTGTGATGTGCAATTTTGCTGTAAAAACAGCTATTGGTTTTGTGAATAGAGGATTTGGGGGCCTGTGCTGCCTTTTTTTTTTTTCTTTTTTTGTAAAATAGCTGCTGAGTTCTAGGCACGGGCAACAGTTGCCCAGCCAAGTTCTTGGAATTGTTCATTGCCAGAGAACCTCCAGATATTTACAATCTCTGAAGTTCTTTCGAATGTGAAAGAGACTGGAGAAGGAGACACTTGTATTCCTTAGGTGACACAGGTGTCCCCTGAAGGTGAACCATGCAGACTGTTGCTGATGCATGAGGGAATCTTGTTTTGTTGTTTCTGCTGCCTCTGGTTATTTATTTTGCAAAATCCTTTCCAAAATTCTGTTCCAGCTCCTGTGTGGCTTCATTGTTGTACAACTTCCGCTTTCCTCTCAGGTGTCACTTCAGGATACCTTTTTGTTTTCTTGCCAGCGTTATTTTGCAAGTAATGAAGAATTAATCACCACTTTCGAGAAGGTGAGTGAATCATCAGACTTCTCTATGTCTGAAAGTGAATGCAAAGAAGTATTCATTATTTATTCTGAAATTTAAGGTGCAAAGTGTGTCAGATGACAAAAGCTGATTATGTATTTTTGCATGAAAATAAAAACACAGCCTCACATAATTAAAATCCATATGCATGCTTTTATTATTTGTGGTACTTATTAACAAGAGCTAAAATACAAACATGGAAAGTGAATAAACTTTAAAAAATTGTAGTTTAGAAAAGAAATTAAATTCAGTTAAGTGGTTATGATGTTGAAACTGGGTAAGATGGGACTTTTTGTGCTAGGTGTTACTTTCACAGATTTTCACAAACAAACAACAGTGAGTGTCACAGTTATGAGATAATGGATGTAGCAGCTGTTACAGAGAAACTACAATTTCTGCTGCACTGCAGAGTTGGAAAGAAGTTGGAAAATATTGCCTCCAATCAGGGAAGAATGTCAAGAAGGTTGGTTTTATTTTAAAAGCAATCTGAAACAGACAGTAGGTGATTTACTTCTTTAATTTGCTAAAACTTTTTCTGCAAAACGATGGGAAAAGAAGAAGAAAAAAGCACACATTTGAGAAATATGCTTTACAGTTTTGTAAACTGATGGGGTCTGCGTGGGCCAAGTAAATCTGCCTAACAGCCCTCCTGTACAACTCACTTTGAGGCATCCCCTGTGGAGAAGTGTAAAAGAAAAACCAGTGTTTGCTCATGGGGAGGGTGGGAATAGCCTAACAGCAAAGGCAGTACTGGTAATGCAGTTGGGGGGTAAGGGGATGAAGAGAGAAGGGCAGTGTTGAAACTGTGTGCTTACTGTGCTTTTGAAGTCCTCAAAGTGCCACAACCCTGTGTAGCAATTGGAAGGTTGGTTTAACAAAGCCATCCGTCTTACACTAACTTTCTGTGCAATGGCAACACCGATAGCAGGTATCACTTACCAGCCTGTTGCATCAGCTTTTCCACATTTGTAGGTAAGAACATCACTAAAACCATCTTCAGATGACTTTTCAAGGATGTCCTCAGAATCTGCGTCCTCAAACCAGCAAACCATCAGCTGCAGGCTCTCTGCAGGTGGATTTTCATTCTGACTTCTGTTGCCACTGTACAAATCCATGCGGCTCTTTTATGATGAACTGCTCCTCTTCAGCACTGCAATACCTCCAGGCTTTGTGAGCACACACAAATCTAGTTTCCTGCATTCAGTTCAGGATCATTTCAAACTAAATTCCAAAAATGCCTGAGCTATTCCAGAGAAACCTGACAGCCTAGCTGAGACCAACTGATGACAGGCTGAGGCGTGTTTTGTTTGTGTTGTCAAAGCTGCTTTCTTCCCTAAGACATTGCACCGACCTCTTATAATCCTGTCTGGCCCTTCAAAAATGTAAGTGAATATCCTAATCTGTAAAAACCAAGCTTGTCCTTGAGCTCTGGCAGCATTTAGATGGGTGCCTGTGCCACTGGGCTAGTAGAAAGAGGGATAAAACAGTCTCATCTGAGCTTTCTCTTGCTCTTGTCCCTTTCCAGCCTGGCATATAAAGTATCTCTGAACTTCTTGGCTTATGTTTTCTCTAATATCTGTGTTCTTGTTGTAGGAAAGGAAAGGAAAAATCCAGTGCTCCAGTGTTTGAAGCACTTCTGTGGCTGTGGAGGCAGCAGATGCTCGAGAATGTGTCAGTGAGTGCTGCTGTTCCTCCTCTACACCCACCACTTCAGGGAGCTTTTTAGCCATGAAGGCGGAGTTGTGAGGAGCCTCTAGTGGATTGCAACCACTTAGTGGGACAGTTTGACTTTGCATTTGGGAGTGCTGCCAAGGACAGTGTAGGAAAGGTGCTTCTGAAATGGGCAGCATGTGGAGGGATCTGGAACTCCTGTCCATATGAGAAGTTAAGGAAAATGGGAGAGGAGCTGTTCTCCAGCAATTCTGTCTTTTAGAAAAAGATACAGAGAAGGGAGAAATACTATGAAGAAACAGGGGCAGGGGAAAATTACTTTTAACCTTCAGAAAAAAAATCATTTTGCGGTGTAAATCCTCAGTTGTTCTCTTTGTGAATTCTTAAAAGATTAAAGCTGTGTAAATTCTATAGCAGTGGCAGGGAAACCCCATCTTTCTCATGTACTTGTGAAGTACATCGGTTTCACTTACACGGTAGAGACTGAAGCACCCATTACATTCTTAAACTTAAATTTCCAGTATTTTCTTACACTGAGCTGTTAAATTCTTTGCTGCTTATTTTCTTGTGAAAATATATTAAAATAATTAAGTCACTTCATCTCAGAAAAAGAGCTTAGCTGAGCTCTTGGATAGACATGTAAACCAGGAGTTGTTGGCAAATGGTATGAAATCTGAGGAGGAGTAAAAGGAAAATTAATAATGATACTTACATTAGGGGTGAAGAGGTAAATCAGACCTTCAGTGGCTCCTGGTAGAGTGAGTCCTTGAATAAGGAATATAGTCAGGACCAGATATGGAAATATTGCTGTGACATAAATTGCCTAATGTAAGGAGGTCAGAAGACAGAGAGTTACTGGCAGTAAATTCAATCAATTCTATTTAAATTATTGCAACATACAATAATAATAATATTAGATCATTCAGCTACAGATGAATACAGCTATCTTTCAAATAAGCAGGGTGTACTTTTGCAGAATATATTGGTAACAAAATGGCTCTTAAAACTGTGTGAGGGAAGGCTGGTAGAGCAGAAGTGTTTGCAATGGAAAAAGAGAGAAGCATCATTTTAAGCCACTTTTACTGTTGTTCTCAATTTGTTGGACAGGGAGCATACTGAATGGTGCCAGTGTGGTAAATGGGGTAAATGGGATTTTCCTTGTGGTAAAAACTGAGTGTCTGGAGGGCAGGATTTCAAACTGCAGCATAATCACTTCTCTACCCTTTCCATACCTTCCCTGTGCTTTCAATTCCTCGGATGGTGCAGAGATAGACAATTGCCCAGCAAGCTGCTAAGCACAAAATGAGCCACCACTGGAACGTGCCACTCTCAGCAATATCAGGTGTTATGTTCAATGTTTTCCTGTACCAGAAATAATTTACTGCAGTGCTTTCATAACATTCTTCATTAAACCCTGAAAAAAAAAAGTGGCTAGTGTCAGAATAAATTGTGGGCTGCAAAATCTGATACAGAGATGGACTTTCTGCACTCTCTGTAATGTGCAGCAAGACAAACTCTCACAGCAGGCTGAGACTGACACTTATGTGAGACCCTCACCAGAACACCACCAGCATTTTACACAGGGAATAACTTCCTGATTAGAAGCAGTGTTGTACTCAGTGCAAGGTAAAATCTAAACTAATTGTAGTGAAAACAATGAATTTTTCTAGCTGTATAGCTGCAAACTGGTGGAGCCATAACAAACTTCAGGCACCTGAGAACACATCTAAGTCCAGGCTCTCCTGGCTATGTCATGGCACTGTGATGGGGAAAGATCCAGGCATTGACCTCTTTGGTTTGAGTTTCCAGGACTTCTGTGAACAGCAGCTTCAGGCATCTGCATGCAGGGGAGTGGACATTCCCCAGCCAGGCTCTGTCCCTGAAGAAAAGGGAACTGGCAACGTGGTGTATACCACAACCTTTGATGTCTATTTGTCTTCCTACTCTAGCCAACCCTAAGGCCTCCAAAAGAAAGTTTAATTCCACTTTGTTTTTTCTTTTTTCTTAGCCTTTTACTCAGGTGGCATTTCTTGCTGTGCCCTAGAACTTGTTCTCTCTCATGCTCTGAGAAAAAAAAGAAGCTGAAAAATAGTTTTAAAAACCTGAGAGCATTCTTCCTTATTCTGCTTGTGTACACTGTCTCTCTTTAGTCTTAGTAAAGGTTTGGTAATGGATAACAGGACTTGCTCTTTATTTTGTTTCCCATTTTAAAGTCAAGCAAAAGGACTCATGGACTTTCTGGCTATTGTTGTTCCTATGAGGATGATGAGTTTGAGTAAGCTAGCATGACTCTTGTATCTTTTTAACAGCAATTCAAACCAGGACTTTTTCATAATTCAGGGCAAAATAAAGTGTGGTTTCTTGATTAGGCCAGAGTCTGATGCTTTGCTAGCAGTGCTCATGGAGGTGTACTTACCTGTTCTGTTTTCATTTAGAGGACAAACACTCCAAGGAAGAGGTTCTTGGAAGGAGTTTATTAAATACCACATCACCCAAGTTAACACAGTGTTGTAGAATAAGCTCACCAGGATCGACACCATCCATGAACCAACTCCTACAGAAAGCACAAAATCTCACTTCAGAACAGTTTTGGAAAAAGTTATCAGTCAGTCACTGCACTAGCTGTTTGAAGCTCTCATTTCCTAGTTTTTCAAGATTTTCTTCTCCATCCCCCTGACCCCATCCTGAGATTTTCCAATGAAAGATGGGCATTGTGTGTCCTCAGTAGCCAAACACCGGTGCACAATCCCTCAGATCACCAGCCCTGCTCCAGGAATTCTGAGACTCTACTTGCATAGAAGGTTAGGGTTGAAATCTTTGCTCTAGTATGTAGTCCATTGTTTTCTACAATATTGGACAACTGTAATTGCAGAGAGAAAAAGACACCAAAGTTCTGTAGTGTGCTGTAGCTGCATGAGACTCTTGTCTCAAATCATGCACAGGCGCCCTAAATTGGGCACTATTTTACTCCTGTGATGAGGAGGGAAGACACTCAACACCACAGTTTCTGCTTGCTTGCATTTTTGCAAGGGAGTATGAACATGCCTGGTTGTAGGAGATGGGTTTAGCTGGAAGCACCACCTGCAGCTTGGTATTTCTTTCTTGTTGCCCTCTGGCCTTTAGATGACTCCTCTTATGCTCCCCTTCTCCTCCCACACAGCCCCACAGGCAGGGCTATCAGTGCCAGGACCATTTCAGGCACCTGCTTAGGGCAGGGCATGATCCAGCAGAGCTGGCTGAAGCATGCAGGAGTTTCCCCTTGCCCTGCAGGCACAAGGGTGTTATCTCAATTATCCAGGAGAGTCAATGCCTTAACCTCCTTCTGGTGGCCATTCTGGATCACTTTTTGCAGCCTAACAATGGTGGACACAGGGCACCAGATTTTTTTTTCAGATATTAAATAAGTAGAAAAGAGCTGGCAGTAGAGGACTGCACACCAGTCTGATACACTACGCTGTGTGGATTGTCCCTCATGTCCAGCTGTGTTGATAAAGTCCTTTCAGCAACCCCACCCTCTTGTGGAGGTAAGCCTTCCCATGTGCTTTGGACTCATTAGGAGGTACCAGGATCATTGATTTCCTGTCTTTCTGTCCTTCCTCAAGTCTGCTATTTATGGTCAGAGAAGACTGGGTCCTTGAGGGACTGTGGAAGAAGCACTGTGGGCAGGCAGCTCTTGTTGAGTACCAGGGTATGGTTGGAATGGGGCAGTGTTGAGGACCAGAGTCCATTTCATTATGCTCCCCACAGAAAAGGTTATTAGGTTTGCATTTGAGGCTCTTCAAATGATCCTGAAATGTGCTTGCAGTAATGTCTGCAATACACAATTACAGAATCACAGAAGGGTTTGGGTTGGAAGGGACATTAAAGATTATTTAGTGCCACCCCCATGCCATGGATGGGGACGTTTCAACTAGACCAGGTTGCTCAGAACCCCATCCAACATGGCCTTGAATGTTTCTAGAGAAACCAACCCTAAATATCTCACCACCCTCATTACAAATTATTCCTTTTTAATCCTAACACTCATTTCTTTTTATATCCTAAAACATATCAGGCACAGGTCTGTGGGAAGTGAGTGCTGGGTGGGAGCTGTCTGCAGTTCCTTGAGCTGGGACTGAAGGGACGTACCAATGCCTCCAAGGTAAGGAGAGATGGTGTTCCAGGCTCCAATGCTGCCTTTCCTCAGGCACTGCCCAAGGGCCAGCTCGAGGTGTAGCAGTGGGATTCCTTCAAAGACAAGAGCGATGAAGTATGGGATCAGGAAAGCCCCTGAAAAGACATTTAAGTGTGATTAAGCCACATGATTTTTCTGCATCTCACTGAAATTACTGGTTTATAATTAATCTGCTTTATCAGCCTAACAAAGTCCTTGTAGGATGCGTTGAGAGAGGGATCATTGCTGGGGGCACCTACAAGTAACATCTGTTGCTGGTAACTTTGGTAGTGAAGATGGAGGAGGAGGGACTGGGATGCTTAGTGCTGCAGGACACTTCCCTCAGGCATTGCTGCAGCCCATTATAGGTAATCTCACTATTTCATCCATTTCCCTTTCTTTTAAGCATCTTTTGTCCTCCTCATAAAGCAGAGGGGTTTGCCTGTCCCCTATTCCATCTGTTTTTCCTTCAGTGCATTACCTTGTTTCATTTCTAAAGGTTCTCAGGCCTGTGCTCCTCCATCCTGCTCTGGAAAAGCAGGATTATGTGCTGTATACGCCCAAGAGACCATGGTATTTTATTGCATAAAGCTCTGCTCAGACCACAGAGCCTCTAGCTAATGAAAAACTGCAAGCAAGGCTGAAGTTGTGCTCTGAGAGGTGTGAGCCATGAAACTTCATTTCTTCCCAGTTTGTGTCCTTTACATTTTTCTGTTTTCCTCCAAAAATCTCCCTTGGACCAGAAGCAGCATGTCCTGTTGGTTGCCTGTGGGCAGGGACCAGTCCTACCAACAGCCTGGCTGATTCCTGCTAGACTGTGTGCAATGCCTCTCTTCCCCCACCTTCCCCCAGAAGGGACACACGTTTGGGTCTCCCTTCTTTTGCACAGATGCTGTTTTCATGAGACAAGAAATTTCTTCAGTGTGTTTGTACCACCTGCCCAAATGTCCAGTTAAATTGAAATGGTGGAATAGATTGAAGTTTATTGCCATGACCAACCGCCACTGTGACCACAAAGTCTTTTCTCCAGGGAGACAAAGACAGAAGTCCTGCCTCAGCCACCTCCCCATCCTCCTACAAATGTGAACAGATTCCATGCTCCTCATAGCTTTGTCAATAAACTTGTGCCTTATTCTATAATTTCTGATTTGCCTCCAGACCTCATATCTGGGTCTGTTCAGCTCTGCCCTTCCAGCTCAGGAAACTTTCTTTATGCTCTGTCTTCGGCCCTGAGAGAGAGGTGGGGGAATGCACAAGGATTTCTGGTCTCCACCTGGAATGGCGCCTGGGTTCTGCAATCAGTGGCTATTTAGAAAGGCTGGGCAGATAAAATATAATCTCTTGAGTTAGTGTTGTATTGCAATAACTTTGCTACCTCTTGTTACATGCTGCAATAAATCCACACAGGACCCAGAGAAGGTGTGTTGTTGGATGGTTTAGCCTTTTATCAAGTTATGCGTAGAAACAAAAATCACAAAGCTCTTCTCAGCAACGAACTGTTCATAAACTGCTAAACTTGGAAATAAATGTCTCACCTTAAGATCTCTATTCTTGAAATGCTTTTAACTAGGAAGCAAGTTTGAAAAACAAATCTCACAGTTAATTCCCAGTATGTTGAATCCTCAGTTTGAGGTCCCTTCAAGAAGAACCCAATAACCTCTTGTCATGCTTGGTCCTGTGGTCTGTTTCAAACCTGCTGCAGTATCCCTATCCACAGCACATCTAAGGGTGCCAGCCCAGCCCTTCTGGCAGTCTCATGCCTTGGACTGTCTCCTGAGAAGAGCAAACTATTGAGGCAAGTGACCAAAGCACTGCAGTATGGAGTGCTCTACTTCTTCATCCATCTGCCTGGTTCTCCACCAGCTCTGGGAGCAGCTGCAATCCATGCTGCAATCCCTGCTGAGCCCTCACTAGCAGAGCACTCCATAAGAGACCAGCCTATCTCCCATATCATATCTCCTGGGAAATAACTGGGTAATAATTAGTGCAAATTGTTATCTCTCTCCCCTTTTCTGTTTGCTAGTTGAACCACTGGCAGCAGAGCGTGTTTAGACATTCTGCTGATAAAAGCATGTTTACTTAGTGCTGGCTTGTGTGTATCTTCAGGCATATTTACAGCATGGCAAAACATCGTGTCACACTTGGAAAGAAAATACTGGTTTTCCATGAGAATTATATAAAATAATCTGCTATCTGCAAATATGAAAATATGGCAAAGGAACAGACTAAAAAGAAATAATTTATGAATCTAATCTTTCTCAAACCTAATTCAAGTAAATGGCTTGAAGTGTAAAGTAAGTTTTTAGTTATTCATTCCTTTGCATTACAATATTTTTAGTCAAAAAGAATAGAGAAAAAGAACAGACAGTCTGCTGAAGCACTTGAAGCTTACTCTTCCACAATAAAATCCCCCACCTATAGAAAAACATGGAGAAACATTAACAGTAAGCTATCAGATACAGAATAGTGAGTAAGAACCCTCAAGCACTGTATAGTTGAAGGCTCTGATTAATAGAGGAGGATGTGCCAGAAGGTAAAAATTAAGTACCCATTTTTAAAAAGGCCACGAGAAGTCTCATAATGAAGAAAGCAAGCAGAAAATCCGAGGAGCAGAGAACCTAAGACACACCAGGTACCACAAACCAGAGCATTCAAACATAAGCACAGCAAAACCTCAGCAGAACCCATGTGATGTTAAGCCCAGGCACAGCAGAACTCTGTAGATTTGGTTTCCATGGAGGATGGGAAAAGGAAATTATAGCAGAAAAAATCATAAAGCACAAGCAACAAATTATCTTGTATCTGTACATTCTACTTAAACAAAAAAAAAAAAAAAAAAAAAAAAAAGAGTTTAGGGGATTTTTTTTCTTCGGGAAAAGTGAAAAAGGAAAATTATAGTGGTGAAGCATTTTTAAATACTTTAAAAGCCTGGAGAGATGCCCATAAAAATAAAAAGTATTGCCAAAGCATGATTTAGTTGCATCCCTGGGGTGGGACTTAGGAAAATTTTAGTTTACAACATTCCTTCTGTCAGAAAGACACTGAAGATTCATAAAGCATTGATCCCGCAAGTAGAAACACGTGGTACTAAAAGAAGGTTGAGGGAAAAAGTCCAAAACTTGTAAGAGTCAAAAGTTATTTTGGAAGGAATCCTGCACAAGGATGTCACAAGCCATGGAACAATCCCCTGCACATGAGAAGGCACAGAAGGCTACAAAAGCATTTTCAAATCAGGGTATCAAAAACTGCAACTACTGCACTACTGGTAAGCTGGTGTTGTTAGCAAAAGTCCCAAGTGTTGGGGTGCACCAGTGTGTAACAAGATTGCTGAAGGACCACTGGAGTGGGGACAGCTCCACAGCCACAGCAGTGGGAAAGGAAGGAGCAGGTGCGCTCAGATCCACAGAGGGTTTTCAAACCTGACCCCTCGGTTGCAGTGCACAGGCAAGTCAGGTCAGGACAGCAACTGCCCGACCATATCCAGCAAAATTCACTTGAAGGGCACAACCTTTGTTGTGTCACCTGCACGTGACAGTCTGGGGGAAAGTGCACGAGCCTCTAGGCAGGGCAGCCTGGGGAGAGCTGCCAGTGCTCCACGGGACAGAGAGACCAGGAGGCTCCGGAAGGCGTGCAGTCTAATGTTGGCTCTCAGCAACCAGCAAAGCAGAGTGAAACAACCAAATTGGGGTTGTCACTTGGAAAGACAGACCAGCAGACTGGGCTGGTGGAAATGTAAAGCAGTTTGAAGTATCAGCTGGGCAACCTCCAAATCTACATGTACTAAGACCTATAGAAATTGATGTGCCTCTGTGAGAAGCAGAGAAAAAGACCCAGTAGGTGTGCTTGATATTGGGATACTACAACTTCCTAAATGGTGGAGAAATACTGATCAAAAATCAGGAAGGACTGATCTTGCATCTTACCAGTGCCTGAGAATCAGCTAGCAGAAATAAAGCAAGTGACTTGAAATGATGATTCAAAGACACAACAGCATTTGAAATACCAGAACGTGAATAATACTTTTCCTTCCGATAGTGTTTTGGGAGTAGAAAAAATAATTATAATGAAGACTTAAATGACCTGGAAAGTCGCAAAATAGTAGTTTTGAAGGAAATGCATCTGTAGGGTCTGAAAAATTCAGAAAGCACATCTCAATGTGATAAAATGCAGCAAGCATTCGGAGATCCACTTCATTAGTTCTGTTGGTACATAGGAGGAACGAGGATGGGTGCACTTTTCCAAAAGACTAAGAACTTAATGGCAAGATAGCTGAGATAATTTATGCAATTTTATGCAATAGGTGGGAGCTACTTGTTCAGATACAAAGATAGTAGCTATTCAGAGGGATTTTCAGACCTGTCCCATTCTCTCCTTGGCAGTTCAGTGGCTAAGCAGTGTGGTATAGTCTACACAGCAAGGAATTACATCAAGACATCAGATGGGGAAAAAAGCAACTTAATCACACTCAGCCCTGTCTCTAGAAAATAGCACTTCATGACCTCTTTTATGTCTTCTCACATGCCTCAATCTAAATGAAAAGTATGAGCTACTCTAAGCATTGTATTTGTGCAGCGCACTGATAGTGCCTTGCAGGCCACGTTACACACCTTACTGACTGAAACTTGGCAGAGTTGAATTTCCCACATAAATGACTGTATCCCCTTGAGAGACAGTGAGGGAGCCAAAGCCATGTCCAGAAAACCAAAGGGACAGTCAATGGCCATTTCAAATGAAGATGGGTAACACTCACAGAAAACTCTTAAAATAAGCTTGGCAAACTCCCCTGTGAAATGTGAAGGATGCAAACAGGCAGCTTTCAAATACAAGCATGCACCAACCTGAGATATAAAGGGCAATCAAATATAGTAAATTATGAAAGGATTGACTCTGCATGTCACAGCTTTTCACCAAGGGTTTAGGCAGGATATGGCAATAAACTGGAAAATGGAGTTTGTTACTAGCTGTAATCCAATTTTTCTGTCAGACAGCGAATAGTTCTGCTCTTCCCAACATACTGTGTTTGTTTGGGGCTGGTTTTGGGTTTTGCTTTTTTTTTTCTCCCCAGTATTTTTCAGTTATACAATTTGTTCCTCCTAGGTTTTGTTTTCTTTTTGAGGACACAGTGAACCAGGCATATCACAGCACGTTGTAGTTCAAATTTGAGCAAAAGGTCAAGTAGGCCACTGGTTAGGAAAGTCTGTAAATGGTTGTCCCAGAAGCAAACAGTTCTCCCTTTGTAGCATGACTGTAGTGTGTAGCAGTGTGGGATTTAGATGGTGGTTGCTGCTACCTATAGTAGTGTTTATGTGTATTTAATTTCCTAGAAAATAAATTTTAATTTGTATTTTATATTACAGATATTTTTCAGTAATTTTATAGGCTCAGGCACTATACACATTTTTAGTACCCATGGGTTAAGCAGGCATGTATATATATACACTACCTATAATCTAAAATAAACCACTGCAGTCAGTTCTAGCTAGAACTGAGTTGATTTCATTAAGTATGCTCAGATGGCTCCCTGTGTAAACATATGGATGTATGACTTGTTAGTGTCTCAGTTTTAAGTGACAAACTCTGTACTGGCTGTTTAGAGAATTCTTTCCAATCTCAGTTGCCTGGGAACATTTGTGTTTGTCTCTACCAACTGTGGCAAACAACCTTCATACCCATTAGTCATGAAAAGTAAATAGCTAACTTAACTCAGGCAATAAACCCAAATAATCAGTAACGGCAGCAGGTGATAAATGTCAGCAGAACTGATATTATATTAGATCTGAGTTACTGAGTAACACTAATGTGCAATGAATCAGGGCCAGAGGTCTGATGGGAACAGCTGACATGAGACAAATGTACAAGCACTTGTTTTCATCTCTTGTTTTTGAAAAGATGCAGAAACAATGATATCACCTGAAACGGCTGTAAAACTACCCCAGAAGCCATCCAGCCTTCAAGCATATCTGTGCTATATCCATACCTGGCTTCTCCATGCTTGTGATTATGGCTGCATGCAGAAAGCCATGGCCCCTCTCAGGGCTCCCAGTTAAACACAGTGCTGCTGGTCTCTCCCATGTGCACATCTTCACATGCACACACACAGGATTCATGCTCCAATACCCCTGAAAATCTGTTGGGCTCTTGCACCTGAGTTGTTTGCTTTCAAAAATGCAAACCCAAGCCATGTCACTGCTTTAAATCAACAGAAGAAAAATGCAGCTACCCTACGCACAGATGTAAATGCAAGAGCTCTGTCTTCTCAGTGATCTTCATAACTCACTCAACTTTTCCAATGCCAGCTTTCTATGCCAAATTATTCACAAACCTCACAGCATTCTGTTACAGAGTCCATCCTGCTATTGAGCTCTTTGAGCCCTTTGTTGAAGGGGCCAGTAATGACCAAACACTGGCTGTCCATCCATACATTGACCTTAATTCACCAGTGTTGGTGGTGATGCTGTTTGCCATTAGTGAGTCTGGTGGCTATTTTAAGCTGGTTTCTCACTGCAGCATTACTACTCAGGGAGCAAAGGAGCAACTCAGCCCTTGCCCCTGCAGCATTTCTCTGGTTTTACTCTCTTTAAACCTGCTCTACTCCCTGTCTTTTTTGTCCCTACAAGTTCCTGTGGGAAATAGTGGAGTTCTGGAGCTGGATGCACAAGCAAGCAGACTTTCTGAGCACTGCTAAGTCCATTAGACAGGTGACCTCCTTGCAGTCAGACTCATGCTTCTCCTGGGGCAGTGAGGACAGGGATGCAGGGGAGCCCAGAAGGGAGGATGGAGGGGAGAGATCAAACCTCAGGGGCACATGAGCTCTGCTGTCTTCTGAAGTGAGGCTGGGATCTGAAACACCACTGGCCACAGCTGGCCACGGGTAAACAACAATTGGTGCTTCATAGGAAAGTGTGAGAGCCTTTTTATGGGCAGTGGAACAATATTTCATTTCAATCTCAACTTTACACAAATTTTGTGCAGGCTCTTGCAGCTGGTGGCTCCAGAAGCTGCTCTGTGCAATGAAATGTGTGGAGGAGCTGCATCTTGCTATCATCCTGCCTGGGATTTTCAAACTTTCTACTGAGCACTTTGTGTTAATCATTCGCTACATTATAAAAACATCACATTATGTTTGCTTTATTATGTTGTTTGTTAATCCTGAATGCTTTTCCCCTTGCTTTCCAAGACAGAAAGATCACCTGAGATGCTGTAGAGGATTTGATCTACAGTTCCTGCTCCATAAGAATATTTTCCTTGCAGGTCTCATGCCATATCTGCTGGGAGATGTCTCTCTAAAAATGTTAATCATGTCTCATTAATGCCAGTATCATTAACTGAACTGACTGTTTTTCCCAGTAATTTCCATGGGAAATTACTGGGAAAACACAGAGAAACAGTGTGTACTCCTGACTTTCTAGCCACCCAGTGATGGTACTTTTCCACAGGAGTTTCACATTTTTATAATAAATAATAGAAGTCATCTAGTGTTCTGGGAAGAATCTAACCTACTGCTTCTTGTCTTATCTCCATTTGTGTAACTCAACTGTTGCATATTCAGCCTTAAAAAGCTCCTTGCCACCAAAATAATTTCCATTTTCTTGTTTATAGGCTATGATAAACATACTCTTTAATTTTCAATTTCGTGATCTAAATAGATCGAATTCTTAAGCTGTTTGTGTCACAGAAGTTTTCTAAGCCTTGAATAATTGCTGGGACTTTTCTCTATTTTGTCTTTAAAAATTTTGTCTAATTTTTTAAGTTGACTTTGAAAAGTGGACTTTTAGGAAAAGCCAGAGACTCAGAAGTTGTCTTACCATAGGCAGCAATATCTCTGCCTACTTCCTGGTGTTCTGCTTACATCTGCCAAGGTTCTTTCTCTTGATACAACCTGCTATAGTTTATTAATTGAGCTACTTACCACAGTCCCTATCTAAGTGGCTACTTCTCTCTAAAACACCTTCCTTTACAGGCTACATCCATGCTTGGTTCCTTTGTTGATTGAAATGGAAGTAGTTCATCAATACAGACACCTCAGTAAAACAAACTTGGATGTGATAACATTTTCTGTTATTTAACATTTTCTCCAGGTGTGAATTTTTGGTTTCTCCAATTAATTGAAAGATAACAAATAATACTGGGCTGAAACAATTTGTTCACTCTTCTTTAGACAGCTTATTGTGGCAGATTTCAAAAGCTTCTGTGAATGGTGAGTTACCAAGCACTCTTTTCAGATCCATTTATATTTACCAAATTGTCTGCTTCCAAAGCAACTCCTTGTGGAGCTGGTGCCCAGGCACAGGCTTAGGCAGCTGTCCATGACACCTGGCAGGCTCCTGTTGCTGCTCCATCAGCTGAGCATTTTAAACAACCTCACAGACAGCCAAAAGCACAATTGTGCAAAAATTATGCAGGGACAATTCCAGAGGATGAGGTAGCTCCTAAGAGCATGGGTGATTAATGGCTCCCTCACCATCCCAAAGGGAAGTCCAGTGGCCGTTTGTCTAGGGGCCAGTTCCCTCAGGCCTCCCAAGGACTTCTCATTTCTCCTTAAGGTAGCCAGCTGCAGATTCAGTTTCCTGCTTCCATTGGGACCTCAACAGCAGTATAAAAACTTAAACATAGATTTGTTCTATCATCAGCCAGGTCATCATCAGTCTGGTCTTCCTAACCGAACGTATAATTTTATAATTAATATATTTCTATGGAAAGAGCTAATTAACTGGTGCAAGACATTAATGACAATCAGTATTTTTTAAAAAGGTATATAACTGATATAAATTATGTAATTTCCACTCCCATCAGAGGTTAGTATAGCTGCATGAGAATTGCAGATCAGTATTTTGGCAAAGTCCCGTTCCACTCTTACCGCCTCCGTGTATCTGACACAAGTATGGAAAGCGCCACACGTTCCCCAGGCCAACGGCAAATCCGATACAGCTCAAAATGTACTGGAACTTATTGTCCCACTTGGGTCTGTCATCTTCTTTGGGGGTTTCAGGTGTTGCTGATAAATCTTGTGGCATTATAATGAAATATCCGTGGCTTCTCAGCCCCTTTCCCTAAAAATGGGAATATGCTTCAAAACCTGTCGCTCCTACAGGTTTTATGCAGGGTGACAGAAGGATCTTGGAAGAAAGGTGGAGCTTTCTTTTTATCTGATGCAAGGGGCTGTGTCATTACCAAGGATGCAGTTTAAAGACAAAACCAGGAATTATTTATATATAGAGAGTTACCACTCTTGCCTTTTTTGCAGCTGCTTCTATAGTTAGACAGCTTGGGAATATGTTGTTAATGGGTAACTCAGGATCAAACAGGTTTTTATTTTCTGTTCTCTGTCAGAGAAGTGTGACACTGAATATAATTAAAAAGAAAACTTTGCAGCAGACTAATTAAAATTGCAAAATACCTGTAAAAATCTGTGAATAAAACATTGGCATTTCCTGTCTTAGTTTATTAATAGAAGTAACTAAATGAAGTAATCTTTTCAAAATACAAAAATTCAATTAGAAAAAAGGAAAAACAAGAAAAATTAGACGTTGTGTGTTCAGACATTAGAATTTGGTCCATTTTCACAATAGTTGCTAGAAGTTAATCACTTCCCACCTGTCAATGAATCCCCAGTGACTATTTTTATTATTCATTAAATAGTTACTGATGAATGCAAGAGCCGAATGCTTTCCTTCAATTGAAAATATGTGAGAATATTTTTCTGTTTTCTTTCAGTCATACCAGGGTTTTGCTGGTGTGCATACCAAATCAGTTCACACTAAACAGAGCAGCTAGTCAGCTTGCTTGCCTCAGTAAAGCAACAAACAGTTTATGCCTGGATACCCCTCTCCAAATGGGAAGAGTTTCTAAGTGAAGGTGAATTGTTTTTCCCAAAATAACAGGTGAATTGTTTTCCCCAAAATTTCCCCTGCTCTGCTGCTAAGCACACAAATGGGATCAGGTTGCAGATCATCCAGCCAGGAGCCAGTTTGAGATCAAGGCTTCATGATTCTCCCTGGGCTGTCAAAGCTCATCTGCTTGCACCTCTGCAAATGTCCAGGCTCACAGATAGAGCAACTCAACTTCCCAGTGTCTTGTCCAGGATTGTCTCAGAGCTGCACGTTCAGTTTCCTGCTTCCATTGGGACCTCAGTAGCAGTAAAAACTTCTGGACACACAGAGTGGTTTGGCAGCCCTTGCACAGTGTCAGTGCTCCCAGGGCACACACCACCATCACTCCTTTCCCTGCTGCTCTTCTGATCAGGAGGTGCCTTGGGCTGGGCTTGGGCCCTTCCAGCAACACCCCAAATTCCACGCCTGGCACCACAGCCAGCCACCTCACACATGGTGTTGCTCGTTCCTGGTTGCTGAGCTTTTTATCAGCAGAAAAATCAGACAAAAAATGTTCTTCCTATTAAAGAATAACAACTTCAAATAGTTTAAAGAGTTACTTACATTAATGTAATTTTTTTAAAAATGAAAATTAAATGTAAATTAATTTAATAATTCAGATTCTGTGGAATGGGCTGCCCAGAAGAGAAGCTGTGGATGCCCCATCCCTGCACGTCTTCATATCCAGGTTGGATGGGGCTTGGAGAAACCTGGCCAAGTGGAAAGTGTCTCTGCCCATGGCAGGGGGGTTGGAACTGGATAATCTTCAAGGAATTTTCCAACCCAAATCATTGATTCTATGATTCCATGAAGTACACATGCAATGTGTACTTTACTCTCAATTTTCAATGCAATGCACTTTACTCTCAATTTACAGGAGATAGACTACCCTAAAGATACATTCTGGAGTAAGTATACCCTAAGTGTACCTATTCCTTTTAATAGAGTACATTGATTACAACCAGTATGAGGATCTAAACTGGATCCATTCTTGTTTCAAAAGGTGGGTGTAGGAACTGCTGCAAGGTAATACAAGTGTATCACTGTGCATGTACACAGACAGTTGTATGGAGAGGATCATCCAGAGGGGACATGGACACTGCTCCAGGCACTCTGCCTGGGTGCTCTAACAGTGCCCCTTTCTTCTCTGGTGGCCACAGGAGGAATGGGATCCCTCACTGAGCTCCACTGGGTCACATGGAAGGAAGTTTAAAAATTCAAATAGTTGTCAGGTGTGTGTGTTTGTGTATGTACATGAACCAGAGCCACCTACCTTGATGGCAACAGGGAGCAAGATTTGCACCTTGGTGTGCCTTGGATCTCCCATCAGCATGGATCCCCCAGGCAAGTGGTGCACCCCTTGCTCACGGGTGCCACAGAAGGCAGATTTTGCTGTTTCCTGAGCTGCTGCTGCCCCATTGCAAGATTACCTCTCCTGTCATCAGCAAAAGCAGCACTATCTGCTAGGAACTTGGAAGTTATAGGCAATTTATAAAATATATAGAATTCTGAATTAATCAAGTTGTCATTCTCATACTTAGAAATGTTTTTATTAAATATTTAAACTTCTCTATGAAACAAATAATATTAGTGGCTTTGTGCAACACAGTGGTATGTAAAGTAAAAACAATTTAATGTGCAAGAGAGGACAGCATTAAGTTACCCTTCATATTGGCCACCCAACCAGAATGATTACACATGGAAGAGTCACTTCATGCACAGTGCATTCCCAAGCACAGGGGCTAGAAGCCAGTTTCAAACAAGCTGGCTTCAGAACCAGAAAGGGACAAATTATTTGGCCTGGTGCCCCAATCACTTGCAAATGTCACTTTTTTTGCTTCCAGAAGCCAGGCCATCAACTCTTCACGGTTCATTGCCTTGTTATGCAAATGTTTACCTGGAAACAACACATGGTTACCCTTCAATGAAAATAAAATTAACTCCAGATTCATAAAAATATATTTTTTTTACTTTCCTCACTGACAGGGCATCCTTCCACATTTGAAAAAACAAAAGGTTTATGATGTATACTTTAAGTTTCCATTAATGGAAGTCTCAGATGTAGCGATGAGGCCAGCACGATCATTTTTTTTCTGACAGTGGCTCCTGATGGCTTTGTAGATGGCAAAGGCAGGGATGGTCACACTGGGCACTCCAGCAAGGATTACAATGATAGCATACACCCAGGGGGGATATTCAACCTTCTCTGTTTTGGGGAACTCCTCCTGAAAGAGCAAACAACCAAGTTGTAGAAAGTCATGAGGAGCAAATATCTGGGACCATGCACACATTCAGTAATTCAACAGATCAAAAATGTAATGAGGACATTGGCCAGCCATAATGGCACAACAGTCTGCCAATTCCACAGCAGCTTTCAGCTCAAGGGTTTCCAGCCTCAGCTGTTTTGGGCTTATTTTTACTTTAAAGTGATGTAAAGAAAATGGCATGAAAGCAGTAGGAGCCAGGAAGGGAGATGGGGGACTGGAACACTTCCTTGGCACAAAGGAATGTGGGCAGGGGGGGCCTGAGAGGCCACCAGGGCCTTATGGCCAATCAGCCTTTTTGTGGGAAGGCTGAAATCAAAGGGTGAGGGAGGGCCAAAACATTAATAAGAGGGAAGTGAGGTTGCAAAAGAAAAGCAGTCCCATTTCCATGTCTTGTGGCAAGTTTGCCAGAAAACTGTTTCAGGTGGAAGATGAATATAACTGACAATGACTATCACATTAAAGAAGAATACTTAAAATAATTATAAATAAATATTTTGGTTTACACACTTACATAGTTAGGGTCCCAAACACTGTAGAGCAATTCTTCGTTGACTTTCACCACAAAATAAAAGAAAAAGATAACTAACATAATGAGAGGACTGATGAGTCTCCAGGTAATCTGCCAGAAAATGTTGGGCTTGTGTCCAGTCATGAACTCAATATCCTTGTTAAACCTAGAAACAAAAAGCAGGAGGTTCAGACTAAAAAGCTGGCCAGGATAAGAGAATGCCTGCTCATAAACGGGGAAATCCAAACTACCCCTTACTGTGGTTCCCAGGAATTTGCTAATGTCAGTTTGAGACCAGAATTTACAAGATCAGGAGTTAGACCTCACTAGTTCAAATTAAGGCACATATCATTGCAAGTTTGGAAAATTATTTTTGGAGATGTACTATCTTGGAGATATCTGTGAGGCATATGTGAAATAGCTTCAACAGAAAAGAGTCAGTGCAGATGGATTTTCCCCAGAACATATTGCTTCACAATTTTTTGATAAGTATCTCAGAACTGCATAAATTAAAGGGAGTGATATAATATTTAAAAAGATCAAAAGCAAATAAAATAATTTAATAATTAGATTATAATACAGTGTTTGTCTAAATTTGGATATCTACTAGTTTTCTCAGGCTGAATAATGAAACATTTTTTAACTTTACACTTTATTAAAAGCACCTAAATTGTGTTATTTGGATAATTCATGGAACATGCAGTGGTCAGTGGGGCAAAAATATTTCCACAAGAAGAAACAAGCCCTGCATTGAGAGTGGTAATGTCTGCATCATTCCTGAACCAATTTATGTCTTCTACATATAATGCAACACCTTGTGCACACACTTCTTAAAAAATAGTTTGGAAGTTTAGTTTGGAAGTTTAGTTTGGAAGTTTCACGTTTCTGCTTTAGTCCTTTTGTCTGGATTTCCTGCATATCCTATAGGAATAACCCTGAGGGGACTATTGAGTTGGTCCTTCAACTACGAACAACACACTGAATCCACTAGAATCTCAATTACTATGGGAATTTATTTTATCTTTTCATCCCTAACTTCTGAGATCTGAGTGTCTTAAAAGCCATGGAGCCCCTGTCCTGACTGCAGTGCATGTTTAGGTGTAGTTCATGAGTGTCATGGATGACACACATGTTCTCCTTCAAGCAACAGAGCCATCTTTCTAGCAATGACCCTTTCTCAGAAAAAGGTCACATCTCCAGATGAGGAAACTCATCTGGAGCAGATAACACCACAGTTGGGCAGCCCTGAAAAGCTCTGCTCTCAAAGAGGGCTACAGTGGTGTGTACTGGCCAGGAACATTAAAGTTTGGTATGAGGCATTTTTCTGAATCAAACACAAACACACACCTTGCCCCCACTTTATGGACTCAACCTATGCTTGTGTCCTGGGAATTATTTTAATTTACTTTATAAGGAGTTCAGAGATTTTAAAGGGAAGGAAAAGTGATCTACATAGCTTTTTCTGGCCTTAACAAATTAAAATAAGCCTTCTTTCTCAAGAGTACACCATCTAATTTACCTAACCTGATTCATGCTTCCTTAAGTAGCATAAAAGTATGGGAAAATGGGTCACAAGGGCATTCACCCCACTGCCAGGAGCAGTAGCTGAATCTGGCACAAGTTCAAGTAAAACTTGTGGGTGATTGAATTCCCTGTACTTTATTTCACATTTCTTATGTTTTTATTACAAACATGAAGATGTTGAGACTTGATTTATTACACCTGTAGAAAGTTGAGAGGATAATTTCTCACTGCTCCAACTGATAAAGTCCTGGATTTATCAGCTAAGAACGTATCTCAGTAGCCTTGATTTGCAAGCTGCTGTAAAGTAATGTCTGCAGCCTGCCTGGAGATCCCTGTGTTGGAGAGCATCATTTAGCACTCCCTGTAAACACTCCTGGCTATAACTCTGGGTTAAACTTTCAGCTCGGTGCCAGTGTGTGTGTACTTTGCTTCTGCTAATTAAATGTTTAATGCCATTATCCCGAAGAAGAGTTATTATAAATGTCAGCAGATTTAAAAGGCAAATGGTCTATAGTGGCTCTTATGTAACTGTTGCAAATATCTACATTCTGATGCCTACTTGAAAAATAAATTATTTGCATTCATATTAATGCACTCCATTGATGCCTAATATTCTCTTGCAATATCTTAGGGATACGTTTATTTGAACTAGTTGTTAAAAAGCATTATTTATTATAATGTATTATAGTTATAATTTTTTATATAATATATACATTATTTATTATAATGTATATAATAATAAAGTGGAAAGCTTTCACATACAAGTACTTGGCAAGCATTATTTCTTTTCGCTGAGAACTCTTTAAAAAACCTGAAACATATAAGAACCCTAAATTATAGCTGCATAATTTCATTGATTTCTATAACAGAAATTCTGTGCACAGAGATGCAGTGAGATTGTAGCTATGCAACAATAATCACTTTATGCATTGATATCAAGTAATGGTTACGCTGTATTTCATACCTGTCTATTCCATAAATGTAGACGACTGAAAACATCTCACAGAATGCAATTATCAGCAGGGGAATAGAGCCAGCATAACCATCAAACAGACTCAGCCAGTAATTACCAGAATTCAGCACAAAAATGAAAGCTATCAAATAACACACCAAACAAACGAGACCTGTGGAAAAAAAAAACAAAAACAAAAACAACAGCACACTTAAGTGTGAAAGTGAAAACAAAATGGGAAAGAAAGTATTTCCCCAGTAGCTATAAAGCTTAAAGAGTAACTCTTGCAGCCTGAAGGCCACCACTTTATTTTTTAATGGCACTCTGGGGAGGCTGGCTTCTGTTTGGGTAAAACTCTCCTAACATTACACAGGTGGTAAACAAAAAGGGAGAAGGCTGAGGAGAGAAAAGAGGTCCTCTTCTCCATAGATGATGGGATAATGTTGCTCTGAGAAAAATCCTGCCTGGTTGAAGGACTCAGGTCCTTCAGCTTCCCAATGGAGGAGTCAGTGGTCATCAAGAGCAGGCTGATGGGCAGGCCTAAAGGTTAACAGCTGCCTGCAGGCTCAGAAGGAACCTCACACGAGCTGCCCCATTGGGGAACATGGAAAATCTTCAGTAGATTATCTGGGAGTCTTATACCGTTCCAATCAGAAGGTAGAAGTGAGGTGGGCTGTTTTTTCAGCACACAGGCTGCTCTCTGGGCAGTGTGGGGAGGTCACTAGTGTCTAAAAAGGCACTTACCAGTAATAAGTTCCTTAGGCACTCTGGGGGATATAATCTTGAGATCTTGTAAAGGCACAAGCACACCTTCCATATTCCCAAACATAGATGACAAACCCAAGCAGAAGAGCATGATGAAGAAGAGGATGGACCACAAAGGTGAGACAGGCATTTTGGTGATTGCTTCAGTGAAGACAATAAAGGCTAGGCCAGTTCCTTCAGCTCCCTGGGGAAGATTTAGGATCATTAACATCACAAAGCATCACACAGTATATTTAAGCACACTTAAATATAAATTGGTAGTCACTAGACTTGGCAATTAAATAGTTGCTATGCATTCCCACCATATTTAAGGTATCAATATCTGTTAGGTTGTTAAACTTACATCATTCAGGAAAGTTTCCAGATCACAGGTTTCAAACTTGAGGGTTGCAAAAGTTGCTGGATCAGTCAAGTTGCACAGCTGCTGCATTTGTTCAAAGTTATCTTGGGTTACGTTACCTTCTGGCAAATCAAATGCATTCATCAGAGTAAGAATATTCCTGAAAAAGTGAAATGTAAGGAATTTGAAATTATTAATTTGTAAGCATCATCAGGATTCGTTTACATCATCAAACAAGTTACTAAGAGTACAATATCAAGATTGGATTTGACATTGGAAAGTCCATCAGATGTGCATGTGCAATTTTCTTTCTTACAAGGTGAATATATATATATATGTCTCTCATGGCATAGATGATTTTAAATGGATGGACACTCTAGAAACCCATGCAGGATTTGGGTGCTTGTGTTAGCATTGCAGACTAAACACCAGTCCCCAGACTGGGTGGTTTATGGGAATGTCTAAGTTGTCTGCAGCTGCGAATCATGCAGCTTCACAGCTGAATGTGGAGGAACTAGACTGGAAACCACAAAGTCTGACTGCCTGGGTAAAATGAGGCACCTCTGATGAGACCTGAGCTTTTGAGCTCTCCAGGAGGAAACCTAAGCACGTAGCTAACACAGGAACCAGGGAATATTACATTCATGCCCCAAGTCAGCATGGAGAATCATGTAAAACATATTTATGTCAGAAATAAGGTGACTTAAACAATTATCACTTTCTATGGGATTTGTTCCACAAGATTCCATATTTTTATGAGTAATGAGTGGTTCTGATGCCATGTGAGTCAAGAGCTGCAATTATTCATAAATGATAAATCCATTGTCAGCAGGCTAACAGAGCTGCCTCAGACAAACAAACACCTGCTTATTCTGTGGGGTTTTTTTCCCCCAATAACTCACTTGTCAAAGCAGTCATCATATCTTGCTGTGGCTCTGAACCCAATGATGGAGTATATGACAGTGGCAGCATAGATGGATGTGAAACCATTGATCACTGAAACGATCACAGCATCTTTCTCACAGTTGTTGCTGCAATTCAAAGAGAAGAAACAATGGATGTCAATTACATTCCTAAAATAAATAGTGAAACTGGCTGCCAAGACTAAGAAAAAAGTAGTCTAGGATGTGCATAGGTACAGCAGTGTGCTCTCTAAAAGCACACAAGTAGTACTGTTAGATTTAGTAAATTAAAACTTTGTGCCTTAAGCAATTTAATAGCTATGAGTTTGGTTTCTTTTGGTGGTTTTTTTCCCCTTCAAATAACGTGTTCATAAGGAATAATTGCCTGAGCTGTTTTCATGTTTGATTCATGGGAAGTAAAGTATGAGGGGCAAAAGAGTCTCCTCCTTTTCAGGCTTGTCATGGATGTGTGCAGAAACACATTGCCACAGGCTGTGCCTTCACTGCTGGTGTATTTTTTTCTGCTGCAAGGTGAAAAGTTTGGGCTTAAATTCAAATATCAGACATGAAAAGTGAGCACAAGTTCACTTTTCATAGCACTTGGATATGGTGCTGTTCCCAAGAGCACTTGGGAACAGTTTTGTTTGACTGTTGAACAAAAGATGGTTCAAAACGTTCCCAAATTTTGGAAGAACAATGTAACATTATGCTGAAAAGATGGGACAGAAAAACTCTTTGTAGAAATGCCTCTGCTGCAGGCACTTCTTGCTAGTATGCCTGTGCTAATGCAAAGAATCTGCAGAGCCAGAAACAGACTTTCATCTGAGGGACAAGATAAAATATCAATATTAAATTGGTTAATCATTGTGCGAGAAGGCTGTAAAACTGCAGATAACTCATTTGTCCTAGGCAAGAAAGGGGTATTGAGATAAATTTGATGTTGTCATCTTTAATTTTCTGAGCATGTTCAAGAGGAGAGACAAGCTTGTGCAAACCAAGATCTATCACACTGTGTCCTTTCCCCATTTACAGTATTGGAAATAGGCATCTCCTGGATGTAGGACATTGAATGGAAATTCCTTGCTGTAGTCTTCTGTCAGGTTTTGCAATGTAACATGAGATTCTCAATGACAGGCTTGAAAAACATTTCTTCCTTTTAGAGAAAGTAAGATGCTCAAGCTCCTTCTCATCGTGAATTACTGAATCCTTGACAGCATTGAAACATTTTGTATTTTCGGATGTTTTTGTACTCCCAAACCATCCAGGGGCAGACTCACTGACCCCTGGTCCAGCTGGTGCTGGATTGCAGATGGCCCAACACCACAGGGTAACACTGTGGAATTTGCATGGGAATGTTCTTACTTATATTCCTTGGGAGTTTGGTGACTTTGTTCAGTCCCCTCCTTAAGTCATGAATCATTGAGCATTGAATGAACATGGCCTGAATGCAACTGCCCTGTGTGTTGGAAAACCCAGAGGACACTGCTCCTTTTCTTTGTGTCTTTTGGAAAGGTGGATGCTCCCAGGTCTGACTCCATGGCTGTGGGACATTGACTTGGACCTTAGGCAGGGCTTGACACCTCACATTGAGACTTGCAGACACCAAAAATTTCAGGTCTTTTCAACAACACCTGAAATCAAGAGTGGTGACAAAGAACTTCCTCAGAGACTGAAATGCTGCTGTGGGGTAAGTGAATCCTAACCAAAACTGAAACACAGATCTCTGAATGCACGACCAAACCACATATCCAAAACTTAATTCAGAGATGTTGTCCTGTTTTGAAAAGGAAGTGAGATTTTGGGAGTTTGGTGGTCAAACCAATAGGTGCTGAAATTTGGTCACGTCTCACAGTAGACACTAGGGAGAATATATTTTCATGGGGGCACTGGCATTGCGCCAGCGTCAAACCATGACAGATGTTTATCAAAAATATCACATTTAGTGAATTCCAGACAGTTTTCCTTTCAATAGTTCTGAAGGGATGGCAGGCACCAAGAGGCATTGGTAGTTGCTACAATATTTTATGAGAGAGAGTGTAGAATATAGCACTGCATCATAATTCGCAGGCTGGGTCAGTCTCTGGGTGATGAGATTTCTCACTCCCTGGCCCAAAGCACACATATAAAGGAATTGAATTTAAATTTCAAGATTAGATATATCTCTTCATCTCAAAGCTAAAGTTTTAAACTGTGTTCTGTGAATTGATTTGAAAGATGTGCTTTACCACCTGCTCTGAGACCAAGGGCATCACCATGCACTGAGCACTCCCAGAGAGAAAACTCCTGCTCATCAGCTGGTGCTGGGCAGCCAGTCCCCTTCTTCCTATCCCGCATCACCACATCTTTCTCTAGGAAGTCAGCCAGAGCAGGGACATGAAATCTTGTTTTGGGAGGGCTAGGAGCAGTCAGAGGAGATGCACCTTACATCTGTGAGGGGAGGCTGGCGCAGACCCAAGCGGCACAACAGCAGGGCAAAATAAAGATGTTTCATTTGAAAGAATGAAACATTCATATAAAATTTGGGTTTTGCCTGGCTACTTACTGAACAGAGTTGTAACTGGAGAATGAAATGAGGCCTCCAAAGGCCAGGGAGAAGGAGTAGAACACCTGAGCTCCTGCATCCAGCCACGTCACTGGGTTCGCCAGCTCACTGACCTGAGGCATCAGACACACAGCTTTAAGCACATCCAACATTGCTATTTAAACTGAGTATGACAGATTTGAAACAACAATTAAAACAAGAACATTAACCATGCAAGACTCACTGTTCTTGAAGAATTTCAACAAATAGGTCAATATTTTTGTCAAACTTACTTTTTTTTTTTATAAAAGAAAACCTATCTGAAGTTTTTATGTAAGTATTTTGAAAATTGATTAAAAAAATGCTTTGCATAGCTGACAGCTGCCATGCCTGGTTTCAGAAAAGGTGTTTATTACTAAGCATTAATAATGATCATTCAGAGATCTGCTTATGGAAATGATCCATGTTTTAATTTTGTTTAAATACTGTTATATTATTTAACCTTTCTCTTAGTTTTTTTTTTTTTTTTGTTCATATGTTTTGTTCATATGGCAATTAGGTGGGTTCTACTCCCAAATACATGATTTATGCTTTAAATTTAGGCTGGTTCTTAGGTAGAATACAAGAAAATAAAACAAGCCAAATAAATGACAACCCCACTGCTCTGTGATGATCATTCAACTCATTAGAACAGCTCTTGATGGAGGATGGAGAGAGAGAGGAAGTATTTGTGTGTATGTATCCTCTTCATATCCAATGCAGAGGATTCGCCTCACAGAATCAAGGTTTTTTAAGATGCTTGAGGGATAGGTAGAAAAGCACCAGTGGGGAGGACTAATTTTCAATCAGTTGTTAATCACAGAGAGGACCACAGCATGTTTCACTGAGCAATGGCCCAAGCAGTGGCTTACATTAGGGGTGAAGAGATACACAATTCCGTTGGTTGATCCCTTCAGCGTCAAGCCACGGATCAGGAAAATGGTGAGCACCAAGTACGGGAGAGTTGATGTCACATACACAGCCTGTACCAAAAAAAAAATGTCAATAAACCACTCAAATGAAACAAAACACTTGAATTTTTAAAAAAAGTTTAGAAAATTGGGAAATAATCAAGGTTTGCTCAGTTACAATAATGGCAAGCTTCAAGTAAGCCACAGTTAGCATACTACAGTAAAAATGTTCAATGAAGTGATATTTGTAGTACACATGGATAATAAACACTTTTTTAGTAATAGTGGCCTTTTTAAGAGAAATTGTCATTGTTGGAATTCAACTCAGATCATTCAAAAGCAGCATCAAAAATAATGTATACCCTGAGACCAGACTGATGGAAGGATGGACTCTCGGGACTTTGCTGAATGTTGGTCCCTCTTTTGTAGAAATAATATTTAGGACTTGCACAAACACAAATAACTCTGTATAGGTATGTTTTGAAGAAAATAGCCATAATAAAAAGAGAGTCCCTTTATCTTGCATTAAAGATTATTATTAGTGTTAAAGTGATAATACCTAAAAATGTGTTACTAGGACCTGTATAGACAAGGAAGACACACAAAAAGTTGATCACAAAAATCTCTACATAAATCAAATCAAGCTAGATTCCATTTCATTCACCTTCATTCTTCAAAAAGCAGTCCCAGTGATGACACAAAATTTTGGACATGCTTTCACTCAAAAACCAGACAGCTTCTACAGCATTATTAATTCTGTATAAATAAGGGATCACAATTGTAGGATTAATATCATGTCATAAAAAGTTCCCCCAAGACAAAGTACCTTTCCTGTTGTTTCAATGCCTCTGATTGTGCACACGTAGAGCACACCCCATGCACATGTTAAACACAGCAACAGCCACCACTGGATGCTGCCAGAATCGCCAATGGAAGTGGAGATGTTCAATGTTTCTCTGTACCAGAAGTAATCTACAGGAGAGCTCTTGGAACACTCTTCTATATAATCTGTAACCACAAAATGCTTGTCATTCTGTACATCTTTTATTTACTTGGGGAAAAAGAAGCTAAATAATTAATATCAGTGTTTTAAATTGTTCCACTTCATGCCAATGGATTTGTTGTTGGCAAATTTTCAGATTTTTGGAGGCTAGTTTCATGGCAAAATAAGATATTTAAAAGACAGCTGTTTAACAGGTATTTTAATACAGTGGCTCTTCTCCTCCCACACCTCCTTCAGCGATATCTTTTCTCCTGTTCTGTGGGGCATTGTTCAAGGTCTTGTCAGCTCAAGTTGAATCCCCAGCTCCCTGCCCTGTGCTGGCCTGTGCAATATTCTGCCCTGGCCTGCCCTTATATGAGGCTTTTCATGCCTGTTGTGGGAGGAGAGGGGCAGAGCACTCTGAACAGCTGCCCACAGACCCAGCAGAAAAACCTGCTTCACACAGAGTCATGCAGGGCTGACTATGGAAAACAAAGCTGCTGCCACCAAGCAGTCTCCAAGCAGATGTAGACTTGTCATAATGAGAGGTACAGGTGTTTCAAATGGATTATGCTTTTTTTTGTCCTTTTTCAATGTGCTAATGGAGGGCTGTTGAAGAGACGGATGACAGATATTGCTTAAATCTGGAAAATGTTAATGTTTATACTAGGTCTGCACTTAGTGAATATTCCGAATATGAACGCATCTGTCAAAATCTACCAGGAGGTTTCATAAGAGAAACCAAAATTTGCCTCAAAGATTACATGCTGGCCACATTTCATTTAATGTGAATTTGTACAAAACACAAGTATCAAATAGTGTAATGTGCCTCACAGGACTGCCATGCCTTACTGCTATTTCACAGAAAGGCTCATTTACAGTAACTGATAGAAACAAAAATCTGTGCTGTGCAACAAAATAAAATGTTTTATGAAATATACCTGTTCTGTTGTCATTGAGAGGACAGTTACTCCATGGCAGGGGTTCTTGGAAGGAGTTGAAGAAATACCACATCACCCAGGCAATAATAGTATTATAGTATAAGCCCACCAGGAAAGACACAAACATTGATGCTATGCCTGAAAAAAAATCAGAAGACTGTGTGAATTGCAACACTCTTGTCTTCAAGATATATCAAAGCACACAGTATCAAACCCAACATTTCCCTTCTCATTTTGGATGGAAAAAATCTGACACATTTTGGATGTAGGTTTATCACTGTGAATTTTTTGCCTAAAGGTTGGACAGGTGAGTCCTACGTAGAGTTACATCCTAAAAGCTCTCTGAGACTGAAGGTGATGCCCACTTTGGAGCCAACTTTATGAGAGGACAAATTCCCTACAGACACCACACAATCCTGTTCACAGCCTTGCCAGCTGATATCCAGGGAGTTTGGGATGCTGGGCACATGTAAAGCTCAGCTGACTTGGAATTTTGGTGTAATGAGACTGAAATATCTCCTTCTCCCACAAGGTCCCTGCAAAGTCAACAGGGGTGGTGTTGTACAGGATGGACAGCTGCCAGGAGTCACAGTCTGTGACCAGGTACAGAATTCACCCTGGTATCTGTCCTTCTCTGCCTGTTCCCAAGTAATCAACCTCTGGTGACTTCTCTGGTAGACAGTAAATGCTAATCATTAGCTCCTGAGAGCTCCTAGGTTCTAAAGACTCATGAAAAATTCCAGATGCAATGAACAATTATCTTTTGTAACTGATTTACAAATGCAGTGGGTGCCAAAGCAGCCCTGTTCCCTCCCTTTCGAGTGTGTGGTGGAGGTTGGAAGGGATCTCTGGAGGTCACCTGGTCCAACCCCTGCTCCAGCCCCGCCATCCAAAGTTGGTTGCCCAGACCATGTCCAGGCAGGCTTCGAGTATCTCTGAGGCTGGAGACCCCAGAGCCTCCCTGGGCAGCCCATGCCAGTGTCTGCCCACCCTCACCACATTTCCCAGTGTTCAGAGGCACCTCCTGTGTAAGGAGGCAACTGTGGAGGTTTTTGTGTTGTGTGCACAATGCTGCTTTTACAACATTATCAAATGGACTGTTGTACTCAGAAGTTTGGTACCGTGGTGAAGAAGTGTTTTCTGCAAAATACTGTTTCTGTGGCTTATGGAATGGCAACACTCAAAAGCAAAAAAGTAAAATTAAGTGGAGCTGAGGTCTATCAGATAAAGATTCAAGTAATATTTATCCACAGAACAGTTACAGAACAATTTTTGGCACACCTAAAAATTCATCCTAATGGTAAAAACCATATTTTCTGTATTAACCATACCCAGTATGGATAATACAGAAAATATCTCTGAGGTCTGAAATTGGTCTCAGATTAGGGAAAAGTTTTAACAGGACCCACAGTACTTGGGAATGTAAACACAAAATTGTAATTTTGCTTTATCGTGATTAGTTTGACCTATCAATGGAGAGCTACGAAGAGGGGAAAACTAATAGATCCTGAAATCTCTTATGGCACACCAAAATAAAACCCAGTAGATTTGTTTTTTAGATCATCAGTTCAGAGATTTGTGCTTTCTCAGGCAGCTTTTTTGACTTACCAACCCCTTTCAGGGTAGGGTGGATAGAGCTCCATACACCCACACTGCCTTTCCTCAGCCTTTGACCAATGGCAAACTCAAGATGAAGCAGGGGGATACCCTCCAGGACTAGCAAAATCAGGAAAGGGATCATGAAGGCTCCTGGAATGGATAAGAAAAATATCAATTCCAATCAGTGAAGTAGTAAAACAAAACAAAACCATTAGGCTTGTGAGATGTGATAAGCAGCCTGTAAGGACTTGTGATATGATAAGCAACCCTTTGTGGAAACCCTTCCCTGTTTTCTGAGCAATGCTTTTCCTGATTGCCCAGGCAGGGCACTCAGTTACATCTGTAGTTTCAGGCAGCAATTCTTATTCTTCACACATAAACAGAAATTACACACTCTCAAGGTTAAAATTTGAAAAAGCTACCTTTGTATCGCGAGTGAGGGAAAGATAGCTACTGTCCTGGAATGATTTCCCCCTTTTTTTTTTCCTGCAAAAAATTATGGTTTTATAGCCGTGACTCATGCAAAGTGTATGAAATAGCTGAATGAACTAAGCAAAGTACCCCTAAATACTAGGCAGGAGCCTTGGGCTGTCTGCCTGAAACAACAAGAAGTTCTTGGCATCTGTTCTCAACAATGTTTGGGTTTGATTAGAAGACATCTGTAGTGCAGGGTTCAAACCCTGTTAATGATGATAAAGTTGGTTAGTATAGGACAAGTATTCTTAGTTTTTTCCTGAACAAGGTGTACCTTGGATATGGGAGGTACCCCAGAGCAGCACACTGCCCTGTAAAAGTGCAGAGTCAAATGCCTGAATATTGCTGCACATTAGAATTATTGTTATCTGTCATCACAAAATGGCTTTATCTCCCTAATCTAGATAGGAGCAATTAATCAGAAAGCAATGAAAAGAATGCAGATCAGAATGTTAAGGGTTCAGGTCTGAGTATTTACTGACTTTTTCCTCATGTGTGCAATGAAAATCAGACAGCAAGTGAAAGAGGAAATCTGAAGACTGAAAACCATTCCAGAAACTGAAATTTACTTCCTGGGGATTCCGAGCTATCAAGCAAGCTGGTGAGCTGTGAGCACAGAGCACACCTTTTTAGATTTTTTCCTTTCTTCTTTTTGTGTCTGTGCCAAGAGAGTCATGGGACCCCTTTATCTGACTGCTCTGTCATAGATATGTCATACTTAAAGACTTCTTCTGCAGCATCTTAATAAAGGGAACTCCATAAGCACCTGGAGGAAATCCCCTGAGGCTGATACAGCCGTAAACACTCTTGCCATGTCCACCACAGAAGATGGTTCAACTCTGAGAGTCCTGCAGCAAATCTTACCCACTGTGCTGTCAACAGGGAGAGCTGTGGGGTTGGGACTGTGCTGCTGCTGAATCTCCCTGACTTGGAGGGAAAGCCAAGTCTGCCCAGACTGCTGGAACTGCGTGAGTGGAGGTGGACTGTGCACTTCAGTGAGAAGAAGTGGATCCTAAATCAGAATATCAGCCTGCCTGCTGTCTGCTGAAAGCAAAAGGTTCAGACTACCTTTGAATGCTCTCTAAAGCTGCTCAGAAACAGTCTGGTCTTCTCCCCCTTCTGCCAACAGAGATGACAGCTATCTAAAAAGCTTTTTCTTTGATAGGTATGATAAGGAGCAATTGGTCATAGCTTGAAAAGACTATAAAGATTGTATACTTCCTTCTTCAATAAGATCTTTGACCAGGGACATAATTTCTAATCAAGTCCTCAAGTGATCTTACCGTGACCTGACCAAAAAAGGTGATGTGTCTCCATTAGGAGCACCTCAGCTGAACTACTTGCCAGTCCATGCTGAGGTTTCAAGGCATGATCTAAAATCACTGCAAGATGAGTTTCAAAGGGTGACAAGGACCTTTTGCAAATGGGGAGTGTTTGGATCAGGTAGCCGTACAGATCCATCTTCTGGACTTGACTGTTACTGTTGCTCAAGAAGGGCTTTACCAGAGAGAACTGAGAGTGTGGTGTAGCAGAGACCTATATGGCGTCTGAAAGAGCAGGTAGCAAAAGACCCAGATGAGGCATCCACACAAACTCTGCCAGAGACTCCATGTGTGGAGGTTGTCCCACTGAGCCTCCCATCAGGAGGGGGAGGATGGAAAGGAAGCCATCAGGATGTAAGGGGATGGAATGCAACAGTGAGGGAGATCTCATTGCATGCACTGCAACAATCTTGCTTACTATGAAAATGAAAGTAAAACAGTTATGAGAAGTGTTATTCACAGAAAGAGGGTGGAGAATCTGCAGAGAACAAACTATTTGAAGCCAAATTTGCATGCATTGCACATCTAATCAGATGAACAGGGGCCCTTAAGTGCACATCACTGCATGTTCCAGCACAGCTAAGGAAGTCCATAAAGACAAAATGGGACAAGCCTTTAGAAACTGAAAGGACAGACAGCCAGTTCTTAGCAGTGACTGAGTCTGACACAGTTTCAGTGAGTCCCAGACCTTCTGCCAACGTGGGCAACACCTTTGCACTGTCAGCAGTGATGCCAGGCACAGGTGGATGGGGAGTCCATTGCCATTTCTGGCTTAGATGCCTTCCAGGTGACAGTCAGCACAGCACGGAGAGAGGGCTGCCCTGTTACATCTGACAGCAGTACCTCCTGCAATCAGTACATTTTAGAAGTCCTTGGAGTGGTGGGAAACAGAGGAAAGAGCCTTGTTTCGAAAGAGATCCTAGGTACTCAAAAATTGGAGTAAGCCCTGTATGTTTCACAGGTTTGTGACATGGAAATACAGTCAGAAAGACTTGAGTCAGGAATTGCCTGCTTCAGCACTGACACCATTTGTAACAATATCTCAACTAAGACCACAATGCTAAATTTGAATCTGCAACTAGGGGAGTTCACTTTCCTCAAAACCAGGGTGGATCACCATAGTTCCCTCCTTCCTGGCTTTACAGAAGAGCCACTTCTCTCCAAAGTGAGGCAGCAGCAGCCTGAGGCTCCCAGATCCACCCAGAGCTGCTCCCCACTAATGCAAGGCTGTTCCTGCAAGGACTAGATGGTCTCCTGAGAGGGGGATGTAGCTGAGATGGGAGAAGTGAGGAAGAAAATAAATGAGATACTCTTCTTCTTGGAGATGATGTCCACAAAATCCTTTTCCTGAAGAGATAGACTGACACAGAAGAAAGAGAGGAATAGTCAGAAAAGTTGGAAGTTTAACAAACATCTCTACAAATAAATAATAATGAATCCTTCAGTCTTTGACTAACAAAAAGTATGTCTCAGTTTTTCTTCTGGCTTTCCTCTGAAATGTTTTCAGTTTGTCAGTCTACATTTTTACAGTAGTAACTACGTTTTAATGCAAGCAAGATGAACTACACTGATTTTAAAAATTGATCATTTTTTAGTAAGAAGGTTTTTTGTGTGTGGCTAAATGGCATGCTGTATAGAAGTCTGAGAGTTCCATGTCTGTAGAGCTACCTTTGGCAACTGGCTTCAATAAAAATATCTTTTTTGGTGCACTAATCACTTTTCAGTGATTAGTCATTCACCCTGATGTGTGGCACATGCCACAAAGGACCCAGCATTTTGAATAGCATTTTATGTATTTGAAACTACCAATATTTAGCTGTAGGAATATTGTTATATTTTCAAGAGAAATAAAATTATAGCTCTCAATGATATATAACACTTTTCTCTTTCTTGGGTTCTTTGGTTTCTAGGGTTCAATTCTAGTTGCCAGCTCAGAAATCCATCTCTGCTGCATTTTCTCTTTCTCTCAATTTCTCCTCAAGTTTTCTGAAAGAAGCTATAATGGAAAAACAATAATTTGACTTGGCAAAGCTGCCATATAGAATCATAGAGTCATTATGGTTGGAAAAGACCTCTAAGATCATGGAGCCCAATCACCAACCACAGTGCCCACCACTGCACCCTGTCCCCAGGTGCCACACCCACACACCTCTAAAACACTTTCAGGTACACATGGGACACAAAAAAATAAACTAATAATAATAAACTGAAATACTTTTCAAGCTGCCACAATTTTACCATCCTAACAAACGAACCAATGATCTGAAATCAGACACCATATATGTGCACACAAACAATGACTGATATTCTAGTCTGAAAACCTTACAATTGAGCTATTAGATTCTCATCCTGTTTCAATACTGTATTTCAAAACAAATAATATTTGGTTTGAACATCTGTAGAGCTGTTTTTTCCTCTCTAATCTAAGAGGTGCTTATGTCAAATTGAAAAAAATCATTATTGCTTGCACACAGTTCATCACAAAGGGAAGGCAGGCAGGCTTCAGATGGAGATGTTTTACTGTACTAACATATTCTGAGACCTCAGCTGTAGCAACATGTTATTTCATCAACTGCTAGGTGAGGAATTGCTCATGTCATTGCTGTCCCTTCTTTCAGTGTGGCATGCAGAGAGATAAAAAACTTCTGCCTCATGCAGTGGCAAGGTTTCCACATGTGAGCTGTAGAGTTAGAGACTTTTTTAAAAATCGATGGTTTAAACATTAAATATGCATCCTCCTTTTTATAATGGTCATCAGGGATAACATGAAAATGTTTAACAGTTGATTGAATGACATGTTGCTCAATAAAGATTAAACAAAAGCTATGAGCAATGTCAGAGACAGCTATCAAATGAAGGGAAATTTCAATCTCATTAAGCTGGTGAAATCACTGAGGCAACCACCACGCCTTTTACATTGTGTGCATATTGAACTCTATTTCGTCTTTGGTAATGATGGATTTGACAACTTTTAAGACATTAAAGGATAAAATGTGCTTTGCTCTACTAAATTTCACTGGAGTAAATTTTCCATTTTAAAAAATATAAACTCATTATCTATGACAACAAAAGTAAGTAAATTATGTAACCACCAATTAATTTTTGTGTAGTTGGGTATCTCAGTGTGAAAACACTATCATAGTGCTGTGCTTAGGAAGAAGCAGCTCTTAAATAATTCCAGATTTAAGTTCAACATCTGAAAATAAGCATTACTTATAAACACAGTGTTCCTAACTACCTTGACTGCAGACAATTTGCAGAGAAAAAAAATCCACCTTTTTTGAAGTCCAAGTACCACACAAGGGTAAACTTTATGCTTGACTGTAGTCCATTTATGTTTCATAAGGGATGTAAAAGGTACAACCACTGGTTCACAAAGCAGGTGGACACCCAATCTCATTCAGGAGTGTCCTTGGCTGAGGTACTCTCCACACCATTGCTACCAGACCTCACCCATCCAAACTGATCCAAACATTCATCCATATAGTCAAAAAGAAAGAAGTTAAAATAGCAAAGCCAATCTTTAGAAATTAAAAACAATTTTCAGGAGACAGTCTATGTAACCTTAATTCTGCACATATCTAATATCTGATATGTGGTCCCACAGGACTTTTTCACACCCACTGCAGATATTTCCTGCACAAAATATAGCTGGTTCGTTTCGTTTTGGTTTTTTAATTTCTTAATTGACAGCCATAATCCACCATCATATGCAATTTGAGCTTTAGGACTCTAAAATAATCACTCCAGGAACAATCCAAGGAGGAACATAATCCCTGTTCCCAGTGGGAGAGCAGAAACAGGGATTCCAGCTGCTCTGTACTAAGGATTCAGTGAAGACGTATCTTGAAGACACATAGGATGAGGACAAACACCATCCAGGATAAAGGCACTTGAACTACTGGGGCAGAATGGAGTTTCCTCAGTGAACTCACATTTGCTTTCCAGTGGATAATTTGGAAAAAGGTGCATAATGTTACAGTTTTACGCTGCTCTGTTATAGAGGCACATCTGTGTCCCTGAGTGGACCACACAAATCTAAAGATGAATGAATCACCTTGGCCACCATGCTGAGGGGCAAAGACTAAGGCAAAGCTTGCCCAAAATGCCCAGTAAATACCATTTCAATGCCCAGTAAATACCATTTCCAACTGGATGTAGGTGAAGCTGGTTAGAGGGAGCACAACTGAGGCTGGGTGTCATACACAGTGACTACCACAAGCATCCTGTTCTGGAGTGGTTTTATGGTGTCAGGGAGTTCCCTTCAGCAATCTGACAGCTGCAATCCCAGATGTTGCAGTGCTGCCTCTACTGGGTGCTTGGTATGCTGCAAACACGGCTGAATGGGAATTAGAGATGCAGGAGCCACAAAACTTCATGAGGCAAAAACTGTCTCAACACCAAAATATCCTCAGAAATAAGAACTTTGGGTTCTTTTTTTATAATACAAATAATCACATGTTCAAATTCAAAGACATCCATCCAAAAAGCAGGCAGTATTTTTTTTTCTGATTTAAGGGAGAAGTTTGAGAACAGAAATTGTCATGGGAGGAGGACAGTGGTGGCAAGAGCTGGATTTAGACCTACTATGAGAGGCTGAGGTGTACAGCAGAGGAGGAGGAGGAGGGATTGCACAACAGCTCTCCATCCTTATGTGTGATGAAGGATGGAGATGTAATGCCTTTCTAAAAGGAAGGCATTACTTGTATTTATTTATATGAATCACAGCATTTGGTGCTGTGCAGAAGAATATTAGAGAAGGTAGCAAGTCTAGCTAGAAGAACACACGTCTGTGTATTAGCTTGTAATTCCTTTCCTATGTGCTCCCTTTGAGTAAGAGAGTCCCAGGGGAGAAAGAACCCAGGGTTAACTGCTGTCAGTGTTCCTGACAGTGTTTCCTGAGAAAGAACAAGTTACAGGATGATGAGAAAGAAAGAGAATTGCTGCCAGAGGACTGACACACACACAAGCAATTCATAAATCTTCACTGACATCAGTGATAAAACCATGATCCATACCAAGTTCTTTGCATTTCCTGGGTGCTTGCTTTGCAGCCGCATTTCACATGACAATGGAAAGAAAGACTAAAAAGATAGGAAGTGCCTATAAATGTACCTTGGAAATCCAGGCATGTCCACTTTCTAAAACCAAGTTTAAAACCCTGAGAAGCCAATGTGTATCATCAATTTTGGAGATACACATCCAGTTTTTTCAAATTAAAATTGTCAAATACAGAAACATTTCTAATTGTGTGTGTGCTGTAACTTTTTTGCTACAAGAGTTGACTCTGCTGCAAATGACCTCCAGTTTGCACTGCAAACTTTAAACATCAGCCCATGCTAGAGAAATCTTAATGATAACAGCATCTCTTCTTGCAACTGCTGTTGTCCCTGAGTCTGTGTGAGCAACTCCCCACAGAGCCCTCAGTTGTCCCTACTCTAACAAGGAAAGCAATTTCTAAATACCTCACCATGCAAAAAAATATTACTTTGAAATACTGTTCCTTAAGCCAAAAATTTTCATTCAAGACCAAATATTGCAAAGGAACAAATATATTTTACACATATCCCAGAGTGAAAAATGGACAATAACCAGATAGCAGACAAAAAAGTCAGTAAGAAAATGAAAATTTATATTGTTGTATAATATTTAAGCAATGGTTCAGCTCAAAGTTACCTTTCAAAACAAACAGCAAAAGAAAACAAAATTTCTAACATGGCCATTCAGTCCTTACCTAAACCTTAAGGAGTTCCAGTAAATTATGCAGTAAATAATATATGCTTGGATTTTAAATGACTTAATAACACCAACTAAACAAATACTTTTAATGTTGACTTCATTCAGGCTGGTAATCCTAGAACAAATTATACAAACACTCACTCTACAGGGATCAGTCCAAGCCCAATGAAAAACCTATTCTAAAAAGATCATTTGGTATCATGAGCAGAATAACAGTCCCAAGTTTATTAATATTTTAAATACAGTATCTATCTATATCTATCTATCTGTCTATCTATGGAAAGCAACATTGGGTTATTTGGTTTAGAATGAGAAGCTAAACTATGTACATGACAGTGAAAGACTCCCTTGTTCAGTCCTGTGTCCTGAAATAAAAACAGACCCTTCCTTTCCTTCCATCAGTAACATGACTTCAGAGTGTGGTCACGACCTGTGAAATTACCTTCTCTGCTATACAGTCTTCTAGAGAGATCATCCCTGTTCTCACAGCACCTGAACAGTTCTAAACATATTCCATTATTTGCTTGCCAAAAGAGAGATGAAACCTGGTTTATACCCAATGTTAAGTTAGTTAAGAAGTGTTAAAGACATACCTCCTCCATGGCTCTGACAGAGATAGGGGAACCTCCAGACATTTCCCAAGCCCACACAAAACCCTACACAGGTCAGCATATACTGTGCCTTGTTGTCCCATTTTGGTCTGGAGTCTGCCTCTTCTTTCTCCAGGACCTCAAGTTCAGCATGGGAGGGTATCCTGTCCTCCAGGCCAGGATTGGGCAGCTTCAGCTTTACCATTCTTTAAATTTCCTGCCTGAAAGTGCTGCCAGTGAGGGGTAATGAGAAAGGCAGCTTGTCAGAACCCTGCTCAAAAAGAGAGCATCTATTTGCTGCCTTCAGCTATATATACTGAACCTTTGGCACTGGACTTGTAAGTGCAGGCTTGTGGTAAAAAGAAGCGTCAGCAAATCATTCAATTGACCAAGTCAGCTCTGACACTTATTAATGCTTTATCTGCCAAGGTTTTATGGAAGTCTGTTCATCCAGTGGAATACATTGATTTCAGCTAATGTAATTCAGGAGATAATTTGGCTATAAACCTTAATCACCTGTAAGGATATGTAACACCCCTTGCCACTCCCCTGTTTAAACTCACTTAAATACAAATATAGCTCTAGCAAATGAGGAATAGTGGGATTCCACTGGCCTCAGACTAAATATGGAGATTTCATATCATGTTTTACAGGGAAGATAAACTGATTGTGACTCATCATCACGTTCAGTTTCCAATTGTGTATGCCTACAGAATTGTATGTTTCATAATGAATGTTCCACTGTAACAGATTGTACCCTACTAAACGTTCTGACCAAAAGGATGGAGTATAAAATTAGGGATTATAAAATCTGACCTTTAAAGTCATAAGCATAATTTGCTTACCCCAACACCTCTAATCAGTACAGAACAAGGTCTGAAGAACATGTCTTTTTTATAAATGGGCTTGAAATCAAAGGTCCCTTCACCTTTTCAGTGACCCTAGATATAGTGGTCAAAATAAAAAAAAAAACCCTAGTTAACAAATATCACAGATATTTCTCCTATCCTCTTTATTTCAGCACAATCATAACAACACTGTTCCCTTTGAACCTTGTTGTTTTCAAAAGATGTTACTTGTCACTGAAGACTATATGTAAAATCTAACACTGTATATGTAATAAGAAATGTTGCCAGCTGCAGGTTCAGTGCAGTGACACAGGGTGGTCAAAGTAAAGAACTAGGAGAAATCCTGTAAGTCCAGCCCCTGGAAAAAGAGATGAACACACCGTAGCACCCCTTTGCAATCTTATCATGTTTGTTCAAAGTTGATTCCAGAGGCTGTTCAATATCTTTGGATAGAAAAGCTACAAAACCAAAAATCTTCATCCCTCACGTGGGCAACTGTATACAGTAGCCCATATGGACTTTTCCTGGGTCTTGCAATAGGTATTACTATTTCCCTAATGTGAGTTGAAATATGTCTCAGTGTGCGTAGTGATAGCCCTTGCCTTTTTCAGGACCCTGTCAGGTCCGTGGATGTGCGATTTCCTGATTAACCACTGGAGCAGCAACTTGCTTCTCCTTTACTGATTCCAGCTAAGGACTTTCTAGCTTGGCAGAACTTCCTTTTTTAAGTTGCTGAAAGCCTATATTCAATTTCACTGTTTCTGCTACTCCAGTGCATTGAGCTGCACAGCTCTTCCTGAATGATACTATGACAGCCTTCCAAATCCTTCTGAGAATGTGTCAGGAACATTTAATTACCATGCTACTATTTTTTTGTCCTTAATCATTAGTAGAAGAATGACAAAACGTTGTTCGTAAACTGATCGCTCAGGATCTGCCTTAGCAACTTCCTCCTAGACCACCTTTTCTTCTTTCAAGCAAAGCTTACTATCCTAATTAGATTTTTACCTAGTTCTTTGTTCCCAGAGTCATCACAGAATCATAGAATGCTTTGGAAGGGACCTTAAAGGTCATTTAGTTCCAACGTCCCAGCCACTGGCAGGGGACATTCCGCTAGACCAAGCTGCTCACGGTCCCAACCCAGCTTGTGGATGGGTCATCCACAACTTCTCTGTGCAGCCTGTCCCAGTGCCTCACCACCTTTGTAGTGAAGATTTTCTTCCTATTATCTAATCTACACCTACTCTCTTCAATTTTGAAGCCATTGCCACTTGTCCTATCACTGCATGCCCCGCCAAAAGTCCGTCTCTGGCTTCTTTGTAGACCCTTCAGGTACTGGAAGGTGCTCTAAGGTCTCCCTGGAGCCTGCTCTTCTCCAAGCTGAATAGCCCCAGCTCTCTCAGCCTGTCTTCATAGGAGAGGTGTTCCAGCTCTCTGACCATCTTTGTGGACACCTCTGGACTTGCTCCAACAGGTCCACATCTTCCTTGTGCAGAGTGCCCCAGAGCTGGATGCAGCATTCCAGGCGGTGACTTAGGAGCACAGAGTACAGAGGAGAGTCACCTCCCTTGGCCTGCTGGTCATGCTTTTTTTGATGCAGAATTTGGTTGATTCATCTCCTGGGCTGTAAATGCACATTGTTGGCTCACATCCAGGTTTTTGTCCATCAACATCTCTACAGTCCTTCTCTTCAGGGGTGCTCCCAGACCATTCATTGTGCAGTTCCAAGCACAAATACAGCCTGTATTAGTGCTTGGAACTGCCCTGATCCAGGTGCAGCACCTTTCACTTGAACTAGTTGAACCCCATTATGCTCTCATGTGCCCACTTCTCAAGCTTGTCCAGGTCCCCATAGATGGCATCCCTTTCTTCTGTTGTGTCAACTGCAACACTGTGCTCATGCTATATCTCCTATTTAGTTCAATTAATACATCTAGTTGTGGTCATGTGGCAACTGGTCTATTGAAAATTTCCCTTTTCTAAGTTTCATGAGCAAGCAACTTCTATCAGGATCCAAAAATTCAGACCTGATTGCCTTACATTGAGAAAATCCTCTTTTTGAAGAATTTTATCTTGCTCTGGTAATGCAACATGCCAGTGGTTGTTAGTTATCTATCAGTTGTTAAATATTTGCAGAAGCAAATACGCTGGTCCAGCATCTAGCTCAGAAGTCTTTATCAGTGTAATAGCATGGCTAATGACCTTGGAAGGCACTGTGCCTTTTTCTGAAGGACTGACAGCACCAGCTCCAGGGTGATCCTCAGGTGCTCGGAGGCGCTGTCTATATTGCCACCCTGTGGACTGGAACAGGCAATTGGGGCTGCTCTGCTCTGTCACAGACACTTAGTTATTCAACAGAGCCCTTTCCTGTGCTCCTCCTTCAAGAGATGCTAGGCTTATGTTTGGCAGGTCCCACAGGTCTATTAGGGCCAATAAATCTCCATGAAATTCATCCTTTCATGATATATGCATGAAATTCATCCTTTCATGATATATGCAACACAAGAAATGTACTGCATACTGCTAATTATAAATGTAGGATAAAATGGATCATACATTTAGATTGGATTACTTGTGTTAAAATATTTCTAATGACACATTTGGGTTTTTTTGTCTCCTACTCCCACATTTTTAATGTACTACTTTTTCAAAAGTTAAAAAGGGCTATAAAAAAAGCAAGCCAAACTGTCTGTAAATAACACACAATTTTACAAAAACCCGATTAAAAGGGAAATATTATGAAAATGTTATAAAAATCCTATATTTTGCTGGAACATACATACACAGGCATTTGTGGAAGAATGTGGGCATACTCCTTTTCTTAGATAAATATGTCTTTCATCTCACAGGATGATGATGATGATCATGATGATATGAAAGAGTATGAGACAGGGTGGCAATAAAGAAAAGAAATGGTAGCAGAAAGTTATTTGGGATATAAATCAAGGCCAAAGGAAGGATGGAGCCACTTGTTTCCTTTTGTAGGGCCAGGTCTGACCATGGTGTGGTACCAGCTGGGCCAAGGGACTCCTGGCTATGGGCAGCCCTCAGAATGCCATGGCAGCCTGGCTCCATAGGGATGTTCCCAGCTGGGAGAGAAGCTGTCCTTTCTCCCCTGGAGCTCAGGTGCAGCCTGACACACTTTACCTGCTGGGCAGCTGCTCCTGCTGTGACCTCCCTGCGACAGCACAGGCACCCCTGGGCCAGCACAGCTTCCTCCCAGCCCCTGAGGAAGCTATCCCATATGGAGAAGGGCTGAAAGGTGCTTGCAATGAGGTGGGAGGTGGTCTCTTCTCCCAGGTAACAAGTGACAGGACCCAGAGGAAATAGACTCAAGTTGTGCCAGAGGAGTTTTGGTTTAGATAGTAAGGAAAGTTGCTTCCTGGAGAGGGTGGCCAGCCTTTGGAACAGGCTGCTCTGGGAAGTAGTGGAATCACCAGTTTTGGAAGTGTTCAAAAGGAGTGTGAATGTGGCACGTGGGGACACAGTAAGGTGGTGAACCTGTCTGGGAAAATGATTGGACTCAACAATCACAGGGATCTTTTCCAACCTCTGTGATTCCATGATTCTGTGATTCCAAGGATGGGTTCTTCTCTTCCATGAGAGAGTGGAGGCAGGAGGCTGAAGGACCTGGCTGAAGTGCTTGTCTGCAGTGCCTGACCCTCGCCTTCCCCACCATGGAAGGAACCACAGCCACCTCCAGGACATGCACGGTGGTGCCAAGGGTGCCAGGGCCCCTGCAGGTGCGGGCAGAGCTGAGCCAAGCCAGACCAGGGCTGGCCAGAACTGAGGCAGCAGCTGGAACTGACGTGGCAACTGCTCCGGGTACAGTTTCCACCTCTGGAACTTGTAGTATTTCATCATACTGTAAAGGAGGATTTGAACAGAAAGCAAGGGCTCATGCAGCTTGTCTTCTTTTAGGTGCAAATCCCTCTGCTGACAAGGACAAAATCAGAACAGCTGACAGAATTAGCAGGCTTTTGAAACATCCTGATACACGTGGATCACCAGAGTTAGCAGCAAAAATAAATTAAGCAAAAGACTGGAATCCAATTCTAAAAACTGAAGTTTGAAGCTTTGGGTCCCAAAAGATTCAGCAGATTCCTTGTGCAACAGCTTTCAGATCAACTTCCTCTGCACATTTTCATAATAGTGTATTGATTGTTCCTATTTATTGTCACAATAAAACATTTGAGATAATTTAAAAGCCAATTGAAATCTTGTACAGTTATGTAAAGCTGTGTGCAACTATGCTCCTGTGATGAGCAGGGAGTTGGAACTGATTCTGTGCTCCTTCCAATTCAAGATATTCTATGATTCTATGATTTTTCTGCCCTCCATTACAGGCTGCCTTGGGGCAAGTTTTTTAATCTGGATCCTGTGTAGGGGAGGACAAATAGGAAGAAGAAGGGCAGGACTATTCTTTTGGAAAAAAAAATCCTTTCATGTAAAGCTACTGATAAAAGCAAAGGCCACTGGCAATACACATTGTTTGCAACTAGGTTTCAGATTGCAATCAACAGTTTCAGGCATGAAATGCAATATGATCCTTTCATTGTGAGTCTGTCATGCCTGCTATGACATAGGACAAATCTGTAACTCTCCAGGTATTTTCATCGTTGCTTGCTTTATACGAGGCTGTTAGGATTAACTACATTATTTTCTGTCCTTTTTAGTATTGCAGCAGATACTGGAGTGAAATCTCTTACTCTTAATTCTATAGCAATATTTTACCAATCCTAATCCCATTTTCTTTTCAGTCAGCTTCTACTTAGTAGTCAAAGCATCATATAGAGCAATACAATTACTCTTGCTTGTGTAATGAGCCTAAACTGGAAAAGGATGGAAATATAAAGATAGTGGAGAAGGAGAAGGAGAAGGAGAAGGAGAAGGAGAAGGAGAAGGAGAAGGAGAAGGAGAAGGAGAAGGAGAAGAAGGAAGAGAAGTTAAATCAAATAATGTCTGTGACAGCCCATCCTTTAAAATAGGTGGTAAAAACAAAAACTCCTTTTACAAGCTGCCAATGAGTAACATTCTTGACCAGGTGTGCAAAAAACGGGCCCCAGGCTCAAGAGCAGACTCAAAATCTGCAGCCTGGGGGACGACGATGACAATTTTAGAAAGGGAGATACATAGGCGAGATATTTCAGAGCTGCTTAGTTTTAAGGGTAATAAACAAATGCAGGTGGTCATGCAGTTTATCTTGCCAATAAATTATCTGTAGATATTTAACTGCATCTAAGTTTTATGCTCTGTTGTTCTCAAAGTCTATCTGATAAGGAACCAAAAGGCACAGGTCTCACAGCTCCTCAGCTGGCATGATTGGATTTCCTATATGAATGCTTGAAAGCAGCTGCCACCAGATCAGAGCAAATAAGAAGGACCTACAAACACTCTGGAGTGGAGATTCCATCCAAGCAATTGCAATTGGAGGAGAAAAAAAACAAATGTG